TACCTGCCAGCACAGGACCGAAGGTCCTTCCCTCCTTAATATCGGATATGAATTCATCGACCTTCATGCTAAAGACTCGTACAATCATGTCAGACCGGCACCTGGCCTGGTTCAAACACAAGGGCATCGTATATCTCTTGCCATTTGGAGTTGCACGTGAAGGTCACGAATAGGTCGGGCGAACCGAACACGCGGCAAACAGCCATTGCGTCCTGGTAATTCTGGACCATGTAGCGACGACCTCCAGTGAAACTTGATGGCAAGACGTACTTTTTGCCAACAGAATCACCAGATTCGAGGCCATGGTCAATGGCATCGGCAATCCCTTGAACACACTCTGAACGTAACTCAGGTTGGTGGTCATGTATAAATTTCAGCCTCGATCCCTCAACAGTTGAGTATGCATCCACACATATGGAGTCACTAAGACGGCCACAACATGTATATGGATTCGGTTTGTTTAGCCTATAATGAAAGCGATATCGATAGTATTCAAGCATTGTCACGTATCGCCGTGATGTTCCAGCAATACTCGGGAAATCAGTGTACTTTATACCGAGGTGGAACCCTCGTTCACCGTAGGGGAAAAACAAAGGATATTGCAAAGCCATGTAGGAAGGATGCAAAGCAGAGACTTGTCTCAGCCTATTATCCGAAGACTGGACAACCACATCATACGTGTACGCATCGTTTGAGCTGTCGCCCACTATTATTCCTGCGATCTCACCACTCGTTGGCAGGTTATATTGGACTTCATCTTTAGCATTGCACCCAAGCAGTCTAAGTGCAATCTGCTCATTACCATGCTCGTTTAAACGATCTCTAGCATAGCGAAACGATTTGACCAGATCATTGTGTTGGTCGAGCATAGCGCCAAGTCTTGTAACAATTGATGGGTCAGGCTCATCGTTTGAGTTTTCTCTATCGAAAATGTTAATTCGATTAGCGGTTTCATTCTCGGTGTCATATATGTATAGCTGAGCAAACTTGGGCTTCGCACCACGCTGAGGCAAGAGGCTGCCAATACGATGGTGCACAACGCCGTTAATTTTAAAGACATATGGTGCGGTTCCATTGTTAATTGACTTTTCTACATCAGCCCCTAATGAAGTGAATGCAAAAAGCGAGTTGTAAGATCGAATTTGGCGTAAGAAACGCTTTGATTGTGCATCACCATCAAATTTCAGAAGCTTCGCTAACATATCCGGTGGGTATTTTAGTTCAGGCAGGCTGATCTTACCACCCCTACAGCAGAGATTATAGACAATCCTTCTCTGAGAAACAGCACTATCTCTCTTTACCCTCTCCTGGTACCAAAAAACGGCACCACAATAAGGACACTCATGCGAAGGGCCACCATAGTATGATCGCTCTGGGCACAAAGCTGCATTGTTTGTAAGCATTAACAACTGCATTGATTGACAGAAAGGAAGCTATGTAAGACAGTAGACACCGAGCAAACCTTTTAAGGACGCAATGTAATCCTTAGGTAAAGGCAAGATGTCATCCACTGTAGGAACGGGACCTATGCATTCGAAATCCCAGGAAGCAAGCATCGGTGAAAGCAAAAATGGTTAGCAGACATAACTGCCACACTAAGCGAGCACAGGGGAAACAAAAGGTATATTTAACCATACCTTCTAGGATTTTTCTTACCAGGTGGTCTGGCTGAGAACCAGACCTCTTGAGGCGTCGTTTTTCCCTGTTTGCTGCAGCAGTGTGGCGCGGCACATCTAGTAGGGTTCTCTTTCCTAATCGCAATGAGGAGAACAAAGGAGCTAAGCATAATCGACATTGTCAGGAGTTATGGAGCCCATGGGACAACTATCGCTCAACTTAATGCTAGCGGTGGTTATGGAATTCTGGGTCAAAGGACCTGTGCCAGCAACAAAGGCAACCTGAGACCGCACATGAACATCAGAAGCCAGAGCTTGTTCAGGAACCGACTGCTCCACATCTATTCCAGCATTTGGCGAACCATTTGGTCCCCTAGAGACCACAGGATTTACGCCGCCGAACAGAGGAGCCTGCAAAAATGCTATAAACCCCAGCTATCTGGTCGATCAAACTTATCGATCTAACCCAAGAAGCGCCTCTAAATCAAGTTAAGAAGCACAAACCCTGGCCAATAGAAGCACGGCGTCGCAAACGGCTCTCACGGGCCCGTTGAACTCGCGGAGAGGGATTACTCGTCATAGCTCAGAGGCAACAACACAGCGGATAAAAGGGGAGCTATTTTTTCGTCGTCAGATCAGTCGTAAGAAAGAGAGCACCGAACTAACCGAAAGCAATGCACAAAAGAAGAACATAAGATCGAAAGCAGACAATACAAAACATTATGTAATAACATCATAAAGGCACACTCTCATTGCAGACAAACTCAGTAGCGAAAAACACTAACACCCTCTAAAGGAAACAAAATACCCCTAAAGGTTGTGCATGTTGCTAAACATGTGGTCCTCATGAAGAAAATTGAACCATATAGTGTTACATCGCTGGACAACACCAGCACACGATAGATCTGTTGGAGCATATCGTGACTGGAACCTAGCAAGGCACGCTGAGGCTGTAACAGCTGCATCTACTGTAGACGCTGCTATTCTCCGGTAGGAAAGTAACATCTGAAGATTGTAATCGTGGACAATAAAGCCGTACCTAGCCTGCAAGAACCTAACAGCCTGATGCGCGACCATTTCATGCGAGTCACTTGTTTGAGTAGACGCGCAGACCCAAAAGAACTTGCTAACAATCTGGCCGGCCATGTCTTCCGATGGGAGCGCAAGCTCAACACCTGCTAGCAGCATGCCATTCCCATCTATTTCCCAAAGATAGGACACCAGCGGGAGCTGACAATGCCAAGCAACGGCATTCAACAGAGAGACAAATGAGACCCCCACATTAACCATGGCGCTGCTAGATGGGGCCTAGGTGAGTGGTAGAAAGGAAGATCTGGAAGGTTGGTCAAAAACCAGCAAGAGCAACCTCTACGCAAGAGGCAAGTGCCCAGAGAAGTTTGGGTTATATAAGAAGAGGGAGGCAGCCAGTACTGGTACGCGGGCCTATACGGGCCCATGCACAGTAATCTGTGAGGCACCAACCGGCATTATTTTCTCACGCACACAACATAGCAGCATGGCAGACACAACAGAGGCCACCGAGAAAAGAACCCAGACGAAAAGGCAAGGGCAAACATAAGAACAAATAGAAAGGAAAAGCGGGGGGAAAATCAGCGAAGAAAAGAGCAGCAACCTCTTCGAGCCGGTGCAGGCACACTCTGATGGAAGGAGATCAACTTGCCCTCGACCGTGAACTGCCAGCGACCAACAGGCGGTAGAGCAATGCGACCGCCTCCCCTGCCCCTGCCCACAGCAAGCAAAATGAAAGGATGAAGAATCGACCATCCAGGACACAGCACATCAAGGAAGCAACTAACCAGTGCGAGAACACCAAATCCTACGCAGCAATGCTGGCGGAAATCCCACACGCAGACCTGCACACCAACCGTGTAGCGTCAAACCAACCAACCAAATCGCATGAGGAAGACATCTGCTAGGTATGGAGGTAGCAACCCACCAAGCTGTCGGCATGGCTGAAGAAGTCAGCAGGAGAGGGAAACAGCAGAGCAGAGCAAAGCAAAAGCGGAGGAGACAAACAAATCTCTCAGGTGGTGTTTAGATCCAGGGACTTAACTTTAGTCCCTGTCTTTAGACACTAATTTAGAGTATTAAATATAGACTACTTACAAAACTAATTACATAAATAAAAGTTAATTCATGAGACAAATTTTTTAAGCCTAATTAATCTATAATTAGAGAATGTTTACTGTAGCATCACATAGGCTAATCATGGATTAATTAGGCTCATTAGATTCGTCTCGCAAATTAGTCCAAGATTATGGATGGGTTTTATTAATAGTCTACGTTTAATATTTATAATTAATTTTCAAACATCCGATGTGATAGGGATTTAAAAGTTTTAGTCCCATCTAAACAGGGCCTCACAATGGGGAGGAAGAAGCTGAAGGCAAAACAGGACATTGCCCCATTGATGATCACGCACGCTGGTATGGCGGACGCCGACGTTGATTGGACCTCACCTGACAGCGGGCCGGTGCAAGCGGTGGGCATTAAAACATGGCGCAGCAGGGAGGCAATCTATTTGGCGCCGTGCAGCAGGGAGGCAATCTATTTGGCGCACCAGAGCATATGGCATGTGGGACAGCGCAAAACAGCGAGCCCACCCGCAGAGGGTTTACAGAGGAGACGTTGTGTGGTGACTTTTTTTCAATGCAAGCCCAACGGAATACACAGCGGATCAAAGCGATGTAGCAGACCAAAATAGCCGTGGGCCTGGTCCATCACGCATGCACACCGTAGGCCGAAGGGCTCTACCTGGAGCACGGTAGACCAGGTGCTGCATATAAGCATTCGGCGGAGCACGCATGGCAGGTAGGCAGGAGCAGAGTCATGCCGTTAGGGAGCCGTGCAAACTGCACCATTGGTCAAGCATGTCAGGGTGTTAAAAACCCTGTACTCCATGTGCACTGTGAACCAAAGAAGCTGCAAGTGGGGCACGCAGAGACAGGTCCAGAAACCTGAGGCAATGGACTAAGCGCACAGGCAACGAAAGCATTGATAGGACCATGAACAGCAACCCACATCCCTCCCTGCCCCACATAGCAGTGACGGTGCGAGTACGCTTATGGGTTCACACAACACAGCCACACCAAATAGGGCGACGTGGACACAAGCAGGTGCGAACACGCCGGCCCAAAAACGCCCGGAGCGCTGTGGTGCGAGCACTTCGCGGTTGTCTTTAATTTCCCCGATTCCGTTCTGAACAAAACAAATGCACCAAAAAAAAGAAAAAAAAAAGATCCCAAACAATCCAGGACCAGCTTGCAGTACCACTCTTTCACGCTTGTAATGGAAAGGCAGCTCACTCTTCTGCCTTGAAATATGATAAAACCCAAACCATCGCAAAGAACCAAAACGACGAGATGATGCCCAATACTCCAGTGCAAGATGATTTTAAAGAAACAAAGCATACGGTTTCGGAGATTTTTTACATTCTGGTCATACCATGGAGATGATAAACGCCACCTTTCAAACAAGGACAAGACAAACTATTCATGCATTTACAACATCAGCTACCCACACCACCACCATGCATGCACATTATTGTTACCATTATTATGGTTATTACTCTAGGTTACAGCCTCTCGGTGCTTGCTATGATTTTATGAAAATGTCTGGTCAAACAACTTCCTACAATGGTAGGTTTAATTTCCTGACCATTATCATCTATTCCACGGCTGTCAATGCCTCGCACTCTGCATCGAACAGCTTCCCATAGTCTTGCAGATCAAGTGAGCTCACCTCATCCCGGCGCCAGAACCAGTCTTCATACCTGTACCACCGCATGATGCCTTCGTCCGCCATCATCCGCTGGCACGCAAGGCATGATCTGCTCTGGCAGTGGTGGAACTCCCGCAGCCGGGAAGCTTTCTGGAGGGTTTGGTCATCCAGCTCATGGATCACTTGCCTCCGCCCGTTGGCCACGATCTCAAACAGCAGGCAATGAGAAATGTTCAGAACCTCAAGGTTTGCCATGTTGTCCAGTAACCATAGCAGGGCACTCATGGTCACTTTCGAGCAGCGCAGGCTTAAGACTTTCAGCTTTGGAAGGTGGGTGGCAATCGCCGAAGCAAAGAGGTCGTCGAATGAGCCCATGACCTTGAGCTCTGCAAAGTTCTTGCAGCTCCTCGCTATCTCTTCCATGATATACGGAGGATGGCCAATGGTAGGCATTGTCAGCGACTCCAGCTCTTCCCACCTTTGAATAGCTTGGCATATTCCGAATTTGGTAATGCGGTTCCATGCTGGCATAACCAGTCGTTTTAGGTGAGGAGACCTGTTAAGACATCACACAGGAATTCAGAAATATTTACTATTATTCTTCTTCCATGCAAAATGAGATACCATAAATAGTGTGTAAAACCCATAAATATGCATCACAAAATGTTCAAAGATATAGTATTTAATCTATTTGCAACATTACAGCTCATCTAGCTCATAACTATGATACAATTCTACAGAAAATATGAGTTGTACGTTAACTGATGAGCTGGAAATTAGATTGTCCAAGTAACTATAGAGTTTGCATATTTTACATTCATATGTAGGAATACAGAAACAGAATACTCAGAAAGCATGAGAAGATAGACCTAGCAGAGTAATTACCTTTCTGAGATGTAATGTAGGTGTTCATCCTTCATGTACAGATTGTAATGAAATATCAAGCAACTAACATTTCCATAGCTAATTGACATAGCCACCCGTAATATTCTTGAAAGCCTCTTGTCAGACCTATCATCAACCCAAATATAGGGAGATGCCCTTGTTTGAATATAATTGGATTTCAGCAAACCGAAGTCAAGAGTGCTCCAAATAAGCGGATCTGAACAGGCCAAATGCCACAAACGACAAACTTGAGATACGGGTGACAGCTCAACTAAGTTCAACTCCTTGAATATCTTCACGAGGACATCAGTGTCCATGTCCTCCCATCTTTTTCCCATCCATTTATTCTCCCCCATTATTTGCAAAATCCTGCAAACCAAGGATGAGAGAATATCAGCTATTGAATAAGCCAACTTTCTAACAAGGTTACTGCCATTCACAAGGTAGTAATGTCAAAATATTAGCGTACAACTATTTGAATGTAAATTAACGTGTATAACAAGAGCCCTTATGTTATTATGAATTAGAGGATCTCATGATTGTTGATGCAACATGATGATTCACAAACACAATATATGGTAGGTAGTCAAAATATCATTAGTAAATAGCTCACACTATATTTTCGAATCCTTTTAAAATCAAAATTATACAGAATGTAGAGTGAAGATATTTTTTTCTGTGTAATGGTCCAAAATATACAAGTCAAAGAAAGATACACCAAACCTAGTTACTTCCAGGAATCGTCATACTGAGTTTCTAATAGTGATGTTTAAGCATTTCTGTGAACCAAGCGAATACCCGGACTACTGCCACAAAAAACTGCGTTAAAAAGACATGAGGCTACCAACACAACTACCAGATCAGCACAAACATTATATAAAAAAATTGGATGACAAGGAAGGGTTCAGTATTATTGGTATTACAAGGAAGCCATGGGTATTATTCCATCCCAGAATTTGAACAGGGCTGAATGGTAAGTGCACCGAGACCCATATGTCCCTGAGAACCGCACTATGCACAGTTCTCTCAACACAAGCATCATACTCATAGCATAATCAAATTGGATGAGATAACTGGAAGGGTCAGCAATCAAGGCTCCAACTAAGTTCTAAGAAGGTCAATCGAATAGATGGTATCTAGCCAGATTTCCATTGAGCAATAACGCATAGTAATAAAGCTGTGGTATGCCATTATGAGGGAAATGGAAAGTGCTGTAGGTTGGACCTAATAAACGAATACCATAATTTCACACTCTCCTTCAGTGTCATCAATAAAGTATCGAGACTTTGTTTTTAAGGATGGTATGCATAGGGGAGCTTTCGCTTCTAGAGATGATGAAATAATACTCCGATCTTTTGCATATGCTCAAAAAGAAGAAAAAAAAAGATATGATATAAACCATTCAGCTGCTCTCTGATTCCAAGCTAAAGTTGCCATCATATATGAATCCAAAAGAAAATTACGACTAGGCCATCCATTCACCCAAACATTCTAAACCAGAAAACCTTACAACGCACTAGAACACACACATGCAAATTCAGAAAAACAAGTACAAAACAACAAGCGATACAACCAAAGACAGATAAAGCACCTAAACTAGAAGACAAGTAAAGCTTCTCCAGACCATACAACACGGCAAGCCCATGCGAAGGGTTTGGTTAATATATGCCTAATTCCGCCAAATACACAGATGAAACCCAACCATACATGTCCCCCGATTATACCTTCTAAATCATCCACACTAACAATCTGACCCTCTCCCCCAAAAGGGGATTTTAGTAAGTAACCAAATATAACACTGGAGCTAAGGGTCAAATTGGTACATGTTCACTGACCAGTCCAATATAAATAAAATGGAAAACAAACATAGCATGTCTTGCTAACTACTGAAATGACGAATCATATCAAGCTCTAGGTTGCCATCAATCTAAAAGGAAGTCATAAGTTAACAGGCTGAGAGCTGATTTCACAGGGACAAGTCAACAAGAGAACACCAAGTTTTTTAAGAGAGAAACAGGAAATGTGCAGGTAACTCAGGTAAGAAAATGACACTAAGCATATCCTTGATTGAATAACTGTTCTGACAGCGCAAAGCTCAAGGTTACGTGCAAAGCAATTAAGGGTTTCCTGCAGAATCAAGGCCTCAAGGGTATCGAGTATGCAATTTAAGTAGGGAATTTCTCATCGACAGTTGAAAGGAGGACAACTAATTTAGAAGGAGATTGATCCACAGAATCGGCAATCCAAGCTAGCTTAGGGCTAGAACTAAATCGAATGAGAGCAGAAAGGTCCAACAAATGCCGCATAACCAATACAACCACAAGTTCCGGCTAGAAATTCAGTCTCCTCACTAATCTCTCAACAAAATGGGGAAACCAAACACTAAAGCCTAGCCAATAATTCTCCCCCCAAACAAAGCACGAACCAAACAGAGATGAACAGGAAGGAGAGCTCCGTACCCTACCCGCTTCCCCTCGTACCGCAACGAATCCCACCGAGCGGCAAACCGACAGGCCGAATCCCCCGCGCGAAGCATGAATCTCGAACAATTCCGCCATCTCCATCGCTCCCACACTCCCAGCGCACCCCATCGCCACCACCCACCGACACGCGCGCGCGGGGAGAACCCTCTACGCTCTACGAAACTACTCGACCAGCCGCCAACGCCGCCGTCGAATTCGCCGACAAATCCTACCACCACCACACCACCCAACACAGTGACAAACCCCCCAGCCACACACGCACGGATTCACAGCCCGATCCCTCGCGGAAACCCTGAGAAAACCCCACGGATAAAGGGCGAGAGAAAACATTACCCCGGAAGCGGATCTCTCCGGGAGGAAGAGTGCTAGCGCGCGCGGCGCCACACGCGCCGCGGCTCCGGAGGAGCAGAAGCAGGAGGCCGGGGTCTACGGTGGACTGCTCCGTCGGTCGGAGACGACGCGGCGGCGGCGGCGGCGGCGGAGGCGGAGGCGTCGGGAATTTTGGGGCGGGGGAGGAGGCGGCGCTGGGGCATCGGCCGCGTCGCCCCCTTCGCGGACGCGACGAGACGAGACGAGACGAGGAGGAGAAGAGAAGGGGTGAGGGGAGCGTGCGGGTATTGGATGGCGGGTTAAAAAACGGGTGGAGTAAATTAATTAATAATAATGCGTTTTATTACCACGTATGTCATAAAATATCAAACTATTTTAAGTTTGACTAAGTCTATATTAACTAAGTTTATAGACAAATATAGTAATATTTATAATACTAAATTAGTATCACCAAATTAATAATTAAATATATTTTCGTAATAAATTTTTTTCGTTGAAAATATTACTATTTTTTCTATAAACTTGGTCAAACTTATAACAATCAAAACATCTTATAATCTGAAACTGAGGGAGTATGTATTTTTTACGTCGATGCGAGATCTTCAATATACTACTTTGAGCAATATTTATAAAAGTAAATTATTAAAATAAAAACAGTACCATAATGATAGTTTGTTTAGTGATACATCATTCTCATATGATCAATATTTTTAAATTGTTTTCACTACTTATAATAAAAAATATTTAACTTAACACTATTTTAAAAATCATATATTTTGGAAGAAAGAGAATCGTAGTAACGTCTTTCGTGTGATGTGGAATTCTTTGATTTGCTATTGAGGAGATCTGGGCCGTTTATTTGGGTAGGGCGCACCGGCGGATCAACGTTTTTGAGGAGGGTGTTGTTGCTTGTGTAGTTGTGTGCCACTTGGTTGTATTGTGGTACACGGGAGCAGAGTAGGAGACTGAGGGGTTTGTTTGTCATTTTTAGTTTGACCTTGACTCATTTAGAAATATTTTTTTTTATCTTAGCACACGTAGGCGTATTAGCATATATTGTTATCATCGTTTGTGCATATTACATGTGTACTCCTATAAATAAATTCCCTTTTAGTGTATACTGAAGATATCGGTTTACTATAACATACTCACCTTTTAGTAGTAAAACTTACTTTGGCTTTATTTTCTAATTTATGCTTCCCTTATTATTGTCTCCTCGTAGTTTTGTTCTTTACCGAAATTAATTACTACCTCAGTCCTATAATAATTCATTTCTAGAGAATTAAAGACAGATTAACAACAAACAAAATTTACCACAATTACCCTATTTAATAACTACACTACATATGCAAATTCCATATGTATACTTTATTAAAAGAAAGGTTAAGATACACATTCCATATGTAAACTTAATTAGAAGGAAGGTTGGGGTTACACATACCATTTATTGGGACCCATCTCACCAGAAATAAAATTTATTTGGGACAAATTTGAATGATAGAAATACAAGTATTTTAGAGCGGAGACAGTAGAATTTAAGATCAATCAGTTTGGAATTAGGATATTGGCTACATGAAGATATCAATAGCCAGCTTCTAAGAAAGTTAGGTACTTGCCTAGCCTAGGTTTTTCTTTGCCGATGTACGTCATAATTAGTTGCCAAAAACCAATAAAGAAAAAACACCAATGACAAGCAAGTAAATTTGTTTAATAACGGAATCTGATAGTACAGTTACCTTCACCACTAACAACAAGACAGCCATCTTGTGCAGCAAATAGCAACATGTGTGTGACATGCCATAGAAGAACCTATTTACTCCCTCCATCCCTAATGTTACGCCGCTGATTTTTTTTAAACATGTTTGATCGTTCGTTTTATTTAAAAAAATTAAGCAGATATTAATTCTTTTCCTACCATTTAATTTATTGTTAAATATACTTTTATGTATACATATAGTTTTACATATTTCACAAATTTTTTTGAATAAGACGAACGGTCAAACATATTTAAAAAAGTCAACAGTGTCAAACATTTAGGAAAGGAGAGAGTACTATTGAACGAAAAGATGTGGCTACCACTAAAATGCCTAAGAGCTCTTCAAACGTTACAATAGGTTTGATTATTCGATAAACTTTCACTAACGTGCAAAAATTAACGTCGATGTCTCATTTATTAGATCCGAGGATCCAATAGAATATCTTATTCAATTCCCAATTCTTTCTACCCGTTCAAACAGCAAGATAGTGACGGGAAACAATTGTCTAGAAACGATCAAATCTCGCACGTGCTTCTCTAAAGAGAACGAGAGAGCGTCACGCTCTTTTCCAGTTCTTGTCTGAATTTCCAGCCATCCAGTCAACCTAGCCCGGATATCATCAGCCTGTATTCAGAATTTCTGAGACGGAAAAAAACACAATCTTCGACGACGAATCCAATTCCAATCTAAGAGAAAATTTCATCCGAAACTTTTCAGTCTCGTATTTTCGTTTATACTTATACTTATCGACCAAAACTAAATTTTCGATTATAAAATTGAAGTTGATTTTAACTTTTTTTATCGTGTTTTATTTTTCAACTTTTAGAGCACGTATATAAATTTTATTCATAAATTATTTTTTATTTATAAATATTTTATTTTTTTTTCTCTAATATACCAAAAGATGGGGCTAAAGGAGACAACCACAATAAGAACAGGAAAAAAAAAGCAAAGAAAAAAAAAGACAGAAACGGCTGCTGCCGCTGAACGCTGATCCAATTAAAAAAAGGAAAAAAAAAAGAAGAAGAGAGATCTTTTCTGCTGCTGAGGTTAACGAGGCTGACCGCGAGTCAAGTCCAGATCGTCTGAACCATTGCTGCGTCTGCACAGCCCGGCACAACGTGCGAAGCTTCGCTGTTGAAGCACAGCTTTTTCCAGGGCTAAATCTATTTTTTTCCCTCTTCTTTTCTCTCTTCTCGCTAGCCGCTAGGGTGACGTCACGGCTTTCTCTGTGTAAGGACGTCAGCGCCGTTGCCGTCACTCGCCTACTTGTCGCCTGCGCTTTCTGTCAATCTGCGGCTTTGGCGTGATGGGGATTAATTTCAGAGTAATTTGCATATGTGTTTTTCACTTTTTAGGATTAGGATTAAGGATTGGGTTGGGTGGGGCGTGGTGTTCGGAGCAGCTCTCGGTGAAACAGTAGGATGATGGAGGGCATCCTCTCTGATTTTTTTAATTGAATTTTATTTTTGGGGCGTTGGGATGAACTAGTAATACGAGGTAGAAGCAGTCCATTCGGGCAATGCGATGACTTTAGTCAGGTCAATGGATGGAGTAGTTGAAGAAATTTTTGCTGATTAATCCTGTAGTTTTGCGCCGGGTGGAAGTAGTTTGTGTGGTTCACAGAGTAAAAGACTCGAGGAGAAACTAATGTACTTCATCCGTACTATAATATAAGGGATTTTGAGTTTTTGCTTGTAATGTTTGACCACTCAACATATTCAAAAAAATTTATGCAAATATAAAAAACGAAAAGTTGTGTTTAAAGTAATTTGGATAATAAAATAAGTCACAAAGAAAATAAATAATAATTCTAATTTTTTTTTTGAATAAGACGAATGACCAAACAGTGCAAGTAAAAACTCAAAATCCTTTATATTATGGGACACAGAGGGAGTACTTTCCAATAGCCCCATCGTTTCGTTTATTCGTGGAATAAGTCAAACAATATATTCGCAAATAAAACTTTCATATACGTGTCTTTAGAGAGAACCTGGTTTGAGACCCGTAAACTGTGGCATGCATGATTTACATTCCCTAAGTGGTGGTAGTAGTAGTAATTAGATTCGTCCGCTGAAGTCTGAAAATAACACGCCCTAAGTAGATCCATTAAGGGTACCTTTGAATCAAAGGATTAAGGATTTATGTAGGAATTTTATAGGATTCAAATCCTATAGGAAATTTTCCTTTTTGGTCCTTTGATTCAAAGGATTGAATCTTTCCAAATCCAATGAAATTCCTATGGAATGACACATTGCATGTGGATTTTGGAGAAAATTTAGCAAGAACTCCAACCTCTTGGAAAATTTTCTGAGTCTATCTCTTTCATCTGATTTTCCTGCGCTCCAATCAAACGACAACTCCTGTGTTTTTCCTACGTTTTGTAATCCTCTATTTTATACTTCAATTCATGTCAGAATTCTGTGTTTTTTCTATTCCTCTATTTTTTTCAACCCTTTGATTCAAAGGGGCCCGAACCAGTTGGCTTTGGACAACACTAGTTAGATATACGGTGGCACGGTGCAGTTTCTTTCCCTCGAAATGACATGCTTTTTTTTGGAGGGATTCTTGAACAGTTGCACCCAAAGGATGTTGCGACATGACACCGCACCAGAAAAGCGGCGGGAATGTTTGAACCTCTGATTGATCGTCTTCCCATTTGGAGTCTCGAGCTAAAGGGCGAAAGAATATGTGCTACCTTGATGCTCCCTCTTTCTGTTCCTTCCTTCGGTCTCTGCCACGACACCAAACCTTTATAGCTAGAAATGCCCCTGTCCCGAGTCTACCCCAGGATAGATAGCTTCACACCAAATGGACTCGGAATATTATCATCTCAATTCTCACATGATCCAGATAAAATATTTCTTCTTAAAATGGTGCTGCCAAATCATCCTTAAAAATCAACTTCTAACTATGAACCTGGACATAGATTATGTCAATGTTCGCAGTGAGAAGTTGATTTTTCTGAGACGGATGATACATGTCAAAATATCAGAATGAGCATATTTCTCCCTTTCTTTGCAAAATCTGCTCTCATTCATGATATCTTAGCACAGGTACAGACTCCAGGATTGCAGGAATCCAGACGAGAAGATGAGAAGAACCAGCGACAAGTTTCTCAACGACACCAAAAAAAATTAGCAGTAATATGGGAACATGTATATATATTCCTGTGTGCGCGTGCAAGTGGCACTGTGGCAGGTTCTTCTCATGAGTGCTCCTGGTCCTCTACAACAGCTTCCGCGACCTGCTCCGGTGACGCTTCTTCTTCTTCTTCCTTGGCTGCCTCCTCCGTCTCCGGGTCTTCCTTCGCGGGCTCCGCGACGGCGACCTCGGATTCGACGGTGTTCTCGGCGGCGGCGGAGGCGGGCTTCAGCAGGTTGTCGTAGCTGCCGGACTTCTTGAACAGCTGCCAGAAGTGGTTCTGGCAGTAGAGGATCCCGTTGTGCGAGGCGTAGGAGGCGTTCGTCAGAAGGCAGCCGCCATGGGCGCACTTGAAGCAGGTCCTGTGGTAACACTCACCCTCCATGGTCATCTGCATAGGGAGGGGAGGGGATTTGGAAATAAAGACAAGAAGGACCTCTAAAGAAATGCTGATGTATGAATGTATCTTGTCAAAAGATTAATCATGAAATTTTGATCAAAGTTCATCAACCACTTGGGTGAATAATAAGGACATGTGCGTGGATACCAGCAAATAGTTGAAAAAGGAGCATCCACTCACCATCCTACTTTACTGATACGTAAGTTTCGGTTGCTTTTGTCAGCAGACAAGAATACAGTAAACTGAGATGCATGATCGTCGGAAAAGGAGATTATTACCTTCTCCAATGGATACACAGTCTTCTTGCAGGCAGTACACTTGTCCTGGGTTCCACAGAACACAGAGGACAGCTTGCTGGGAATCTTAGCCTGTTTATCACACAAAAGCAGATTGTATGAGTTGCAATCCATGGCAAATTTAAATTGCCTGATGTTGCTGATAGTCCTTTACGGCAAGAGCCATGATTCTTTCTGGAGGTACCAATGCATTTTCCTTTTCTTTTGCTTAACAACAAAAATATGAATTCTGGTCCATATGGAAGTTAAAAGAATAAGTTATCTTTAGAAAGACGATGAGAATGCGGTACCTGTTCACTGTTTGCCTTTGTACCTGAACCACAGGACAAGCAGAATAGTAATAAGATTCTTGTGATTTCATAAAAAATAACAGGTAAAGGGTGATGCAGATCAAACATTCAAACATACCTGAGGGGAAGTTCTTCTTGAAGGTGCCTGTTTCCTTGAATAGCTGCTCAAAATGGGTCTTGCAGTAAAGAACCCCATCCATGGACGAATAGCTGCACATCTGGAAATAGAACAATTCACATCAGCTCATGAGTAACATATAATATTTTAACATCATGAAGAGCATAAAAAACTGATCATTCACATCAAGGAGTGCAGACACCAAGAAGAGTGCATACCGAAAGTGTGCCTTTGCAGTGGCTGCATCTGAAGCAAGACTTGTGGTAGGGAATACTGTCCGCGGTAAGGAGATCAATGAAATGCACGGTCTTGTCACAAGCATTGCACTTGTCCTGTGTACCAGAGAACGTCATCTTGGTATTCTCGGTGGGGATGTGCCGAGCAATATGTCAATTTGTTGCTAACAAGAATTCGCTAGCACAACCCTCCTGATAGAATCAAGATAATGTCTTTGGCTCTCAATCTGCAACTGAATAGATGCAGATGAAAGCCAAAGGGAGGGTGTGTGCAAGAAGTTGATGGGAGGCTTTAATATGCAATTCTGGAAACCTGATTTGGGAGAGGCTGAAGCTAGGGAAGAAATATAAGAGGCTTGGGTCTAACTCCACCTCTAAGCCAGAGGAAATGGTCAGAGAGATGAGATTAGATGTGCCACATCACAATGCTAACTTTGGAGACTCCTCACATGGTTATAATTTGTGGTTATTCTCCTACAGAAAGTGTTTGACTATATTTAGGGTGCAATAATAGTTAGTGACTAACAATAGCCCAAGACATTTACAGAAGAGTTATTTAAATGCCATTGTTATCAGCCGGTCATTTTTCTCTTTTGAGGAAGAAGTTGACCAAGCTATTCTTAGTGCACCGAGAATAACACAAACAAACAAATGTATAACCATTTGCACACATGATAAAATTAAACAGCATGCATGTCATTGGCCTTTTAGAGAAATGTGACCTTAAAAAGAATGGTTCTTCACAAACAAAGAAAGATGACACATAAGCTTACATAAGAACAAAAGGCACAAGAACAAAAACTAGCTCATGGTATGATCCGAACAGACAGTTTCCCAGAGTAACTATTGTATACGAACTGGAATAACAGGGGGGAAGATGTATGTCTCACCCAAAGTGTGAAATCTTCCTTTGCTCAGGGCCACAGGCAAGCTACAAGCAAATTATTTTTGATCTGGCTTCAGCCCCAAAAATGTATTCTGAAAAAGACAGAGTACCCGTATCAGTCTGCTTTTGCCCAAAAATACAATAACATGTATTTGCAGGAAAATGCTAACGATGTCAATATGCCACCTTCAGTTTCTATCTTCCAACAGGGGATATAAATGTATAAGCTATTAGCATTTTGCTTTATAGAATGGGAATTTGGGGGAAGAATCCAATCCAGGTAAGTCTAAAAAATGGCATCAGTGACATCATATAATTATTCAATGTTTGTACATTCCACAATTGGGTGGCACTCTTCTGAACAACAGTAGACTACAAGGCACACACTGCCTGGAAAGGCAGAAACACGAAAATTGGAGAAATACAAGTTTTCAGTTGGTTAGTATCTGAATCAAGACGACTTTCATTCTTTAATTCTTCCAAGTTCCAATCAGGTGGTTTCGCTTTGTATCCCAATCATAAATTGTTGTAGTGGCCAGCTTGTGCTACTGCAAGCAGCCATTTCAATCTGAACTATGCATCACTCTGGATGAAGTTACTCCTTGAGCAATCTCAATACATCACCAACAAGATGCAGGGAGCCAGTAACTAAGACCTGGTCAAAGTGTACAAATGCAAATGTATCAGCATCAATTTTGAAAGTAGCTGCTGCCTGCTAGAGACAAAAAAACATAAAAAACAACAGGTATAACATAATTAAAGGGACATAAAATAAACACATGCACATAAACAATTACTAGGTATTCCAGATCATGGAAAAGCAGAACCAAAAAAGAAAAAAGAACTGTGCATTCACTAGCAGTTGCACACACGCAAGCACATCGAAGGGATGGAAGGGTACACAAGAGACAAGAATGATGAATCAGTGATGGTCACTACACAACTACATATACATGTGCTAAGCTGACAATGAATTATGTGATATCCCTGTGTCCTGACTATGGTACAGTAGCTAGGTATGGTTGGAAGAAAAATTAGTCCTACATGATACAAACAATTGGGAGAACAAAAATGAAGGTATATAAGAAGTTTTCACCTGATATGAAGTAGATTGGTTTTGTTGAGCAGTTTCCCTTAGCCATTTGATTGCCAATGGAAGAGATTCAAAAACAGAACTAGCTGTACTGGAGTTTGAACCATTTAGACCTGCACCGTTCCAATTTTTAAGTTTATATACCATCTTCAACCCAGTGAACTTACTTTGTTTCAATAAGAAAACACAAGCTGGCAATAAATGAACAATAATAATTATTGCAATTCAGTTTAGAGCAACCTTTATTGCTATGAAGCAGGCCTTCCCACACTCTTTGAAGTGATAATTGCCATGACAGATCGATTTGCACACGCTCTGAAGGTGGTGATGCATGAGAACCAAGCTTGTTGTATTGAGATTGATTTGGCACAAATAGGGCATGATCAAACTGGAGTCCTGAGAAAATGATTGCTCATCAGAATTCAGAAACAAAAGCATTCATACAATTCACAATAGAAATGTAATGATCTTGGATAGTGAGAAAAGGTAAACTATGCAAGGGAAATGAATTTGATTAGAATACCATTCTGGGCACATGTAGCTAGAAGACATGGAAGCAGTCTTTGAGGATCTCTTACAGACATGCAATTGAACAGGAGAATCTGCAAGGATCACAAACAAAGAGTGCTCATAAGAAAGAAAGAACAATGATATGAGCCACACACACACACACACACACACACACACACACACAGAGAGACCTCTCACTGGCTCACTGCAACTGCAAGGCATACCTTCCTAGAATTGGTGCCAATATGTAGCTGATCCAAAGGGCCTGGTTGTTGTTCATCCTTTCTTGTAACACAGGAAAACCACTTCGCACAAATTTCCATACTTTCTGGGCTATGTGCTCCATCCAAATAGAAAATTAAGGAACTGCTGTCTTTGGACAGCACTTCCGGATCTGGAACAATCTGTGCTCGTCCTTGCAAACAAGCACTTGACAGCCCTTCGATGAATTGATCTGGCAAGGTAACCTGCATTCCAGGTTAGGTTGATTACTGAACTTAACTTTCTTTACATGCCAGTTTGGGCTAGAGTACTTACAGAATGCTTCTTATGTAGTATGTTGAAATGCCCTTGCCTTTGAAGCCAGGTATTAACCAATGCGACTGCAAGGCCAGCATTCATGTATTGGTGTTCACCATGTAGCCCAAGAGGTTGATCATCCAATTGTTGTGGATCCAAAGGCTGGACTACTTGAAGAGGAACCTTTAAAGAATTTAAGTTGTTCGTGTCAATGAAAAAAAGCTGTACTATACTGATTGTAACAATGTTCATGGATACATTAGAGTGCAAGGCATGGTGGAAACCCCAAAAGAAAAATGAAGCACAGGAAATAACATACACCCAATTCAGAAGCTCTGTGCTTCAGTACAGACATTGCCTCTTCTGGTTGTGGAACTGTATATGCTGGAACTCCTTTCTGCATTTAGAAAGAGGCTACACAGGGATTAAGCAACATATAAATTTAGCTATGGAAGTAGTTAACTGAAGGATATCAGAGCAAAGAAAACATGTTACACATATTTATTTATTGATAAATATTGTGGAAAAGTAAATAGTACAGAACCTTTAATATTCCGGCTTTCTCCCCAGCAATTTCTCCTAGCGTATTTCCTGCTCATCAGCCAAAACAAACACGTATAGTGTGACGTGAGTTTGTTATGTATGAGAGGAATTTCTTCCTTCAGTTTCTTAACTAACCAAGAATCTCCATGTGATCATATCCAAGGGAAGATATTCCACAAACTACAGGTGCTTTGACCTGCAAAATTTTCAAATATATTATACTCTTCAGTTTTTTGTTCAAGCCAAGATATTGGCAGCAATCTCAGTGGGCTACAATGGAACAGGACATGAGTTGAACACAAAATGCAAACAAATTTGCATGTTTTACAGCGGAACCTAGATGGTAACATTTTGTGGACTTCACAAACATTCAGCATTCATACTAAAAGGTCAAAATGAGATGATATAATCTTTATTTTTGGTTGGCAGTTATGCCATATAAATATACTGCCATTCATTATTTGACAGTAAAATGTCACGCACCACGTTCGTTGCATCATATTTTCCTCCCAAACCAACCTCAAGCACAGCTACATCCACCTTAAACCAAAAAACAAAGAAAGTGGATTTAAATAAATCGCTAGGGAAGTCATGGGTGCAATTGTTAAATTCAAGAAGTGCACAGTGATTATCTACTCAAAGATGATAATGCTTGTAAATAAACTTATCAGACAACTAATCATTTCATAATTCTACTAATCACATGAACTGCAGATAACAAGTGAAGGGTGATGAAAACATCATAGAACTAGCAACCATTTAGATTCAATAAAGATCTAACATAATATGATATGACTTTTCTTTGAGAAATATACGAATTCAGTATATGTTGAGTGGGACAATGTCCATGAAAATCCATTCTTTTGATGATTAGTATTAGTGAAGTTTTCAAAATCCATTTAAATAGAAAGCTGGGATAAACTTAACTAGATTTACTACAGGATTGAAAAAGCTTAGGACAGAAAGTATTTGAATGTTACCTGCTCATCAGAAAATATCTTGAATGCTAGCAGCGCAAGGAATCTAAAATAGGCTGGCATTGGAATATCACCACCAGTCTTATCCTGGAAGGCACAACAGATTAACCACAGTGAGTGTTTCAAAGCTTATAGAAAATGATGCAAATCCAACAATATCCCATAGTCAGTATGATACAACCATAACTTTCACCACGTGAAACATATAAATGAGGGATCCTTACTTTCAGTTTGTTCCAGCACCACCAGAAATACCTTATAAACTTTTCTTCCGAAATGTCCAACCTAGGAACTCACCAGAGAGGAAATTAAGAGAGCACAAGAGTTCAGTCATGGCAATAATCAAAGAAAGTTGTTAATGCAAAACTACAAATCCCTGGTAATCTAATTATAACAAGCTAAAGATATATAAAAAAAATTAGAACAAATAAAGGTCGCAATGCGGCAGATTGAAGTGAACTAATACCCGTTAAGCCGAAATCTCTCACGAACATCCATCAAGTGTGGTGAGGTGAACAACCCAGTGCGGAAACCACATGATCGAAGAATTGACTCGGCAAATGTGCATGTTGAACCCTAAACGATACCAGGAAAATGATATTTCAGTGCTTTTAGTGGGACTTCTCCTTGGAATATATTGAAATACGATTCTCTTTGGTATACTATTCAATATATATGCACCACAAAATCAGTCTAAAGGGTGTCTTCAATCTTCAATTGCTTACATTGGTCAGGCATCACCGCATCACTACACTCAGTGACAGCCAATACAAACAACTAGCAAACACAAACACGTAGCCCTAAATAGACAGAATTAAACCTAACAATTAAGTCAGTTAGGTGAAATCCTCATTTCTCAGGCAGGGACAGCTCCACCAAACATGCGAGTTTCTAGAGAAAACTGTACGCACCACACATAGCAATCCCACTTGATTTCACAGGTAACCAAATGCAAACAATGCAGCTAATACCGACCACTGGTTTTGCTATTACTATTGATGCGCATATTTACAGAAAAATATGCGATACATTACTGAAACTGCACACCTTCCCTTTTGTCCAAATCAGTTCAAATCACTCTAACACAGCAATGTGAATCCCTCCAGCCACTCTCTGCTGTAGTGTACTCACCTTCCCTTTCGTCCCTGCGACATGAACCACCTTCAACCGCGCGATCGGCTCCTCCAGCTCCAGTATCTAGCAACGCCAACCAAAATCAATCCCAATCAGAAACCACCAATAGAGCAATCAATAACCAAAGTCGAGCTCCACCCACGGGAGCGCACCTGCAGGTACTTGGCCATGAGCTCCCACTGGTTCCCACGGTTGCCGGTGTCCGCCCGCACCTTCTGCGTGATCAGCGACGAGATGCACCCCAGCACCTCCTCGTACTCCGCCGACCCCGCCGCGACTCCTGCACCACCACCACCACCACCACCACCACCGAATCAATCCCAAATCCCAATCAATCACCACACCCAGAACTACACGACAGAGAGAAACCCTCGCGAGCTTCGGTTTACGTTACGTACCTGGCTGCGCGACGCTGGCCATGGCGGCGCGCGGGGTGAGGAGCTGGAAGGGGTGGGACTGCGGCGGCGGCGGCGGGCGCAGGAGAGGGTGGGGAGGGGCGCTGCCGCCGCCGCGGTGGTGGTGGTGGTTGTGGTGGAGGAGGAGGAGGCTGCTGCTGCGGCGGCGGAGGTGGGCGAGGCGAGGGGGCGGCATGGCGACGGAGGAGGAGGGTACTAGTAGCGTGGTGGTGGTGGTGGTGGTGGTGGCGGAGGATGGTGGTGGGCTCGCGGCGCCGCTCGCGCGCATCGTTTTCGTTTTGCCGGATCGTGTGATCCGGAGTGGCTCGGGGCGTTTTGCGGTTTTATGGTCGGGTTTTGCTTTGCTCGCTCGTGGCACCACCGCGGAGTTGGGCTTGCTGATGATGGGCTTTGTGGGTTACGAGGCAACCGGTTTGGTTTGGAATCTGGGCTAGGTTTCTTCTGGGCTTCAAATACTGACGCTTAGCTCAACTTAATATGGCCCTGGTTGCCTGGTTGGTTTAGGCTGAACCTTCCCATCCCCCACGGAAAACGGAACAGCTTATTTGCGTATAATTAATTAAGTAATAACTAAAATAAATTTTACAAATATATTAATATGATTTTTATAAAGTAATTTTTCTATAGAATTTATTTTTTAAAAAACACACCGTTAAGCGGTTTGAAAAACGTGCGTATGAAAAATGAGAGAGATGAGGATTGGCAACACATACTCTCGAACAGAGCCTTAGTATTGCTCGGACCTAATCTAACTTAAGTATACGTTTTCTCTTTAAAATAAATTCGAACATGAGTTTTTTAAGACTCTCTTGTGATGAAATTTATTTTAAATCTACACACGAGATTTAAGAACATATCTTAAGGGAGCTTGTAGTTGTAGTGCATTTACCTTGTAAAAACAGACAGGAATGGAAATATGCAAAAGTGAATAGCAGTTCCAAAATTAACTCAAATTTAGAAGATAAAATTGAGAAGGCTAAAACGACTTGTATTTGGAACCCGAGTGAATAGGAACTATAATACTAACTCCAGACTCAAGTTGAAATTATGGTAGGATCCTTAGGGTTCTTATAGAGTTAAACAGCATGCACATTTTGATTCGGATAATAACGGCAGTTCAGATGTCTTGTACTCCACATCATTGTCCCTTGAGATACAACACGATTCAGTAACAACAACCCGAAATTTCTATCATGGATAATGGATCACCCTGCTAGTTTCGTGTTACTCGACTCCGTGCAGTCATACTGTGGTTATTTTCATGCGTGAAATGCGTGTAGGCATTAGTTTAAGCTGTGATGGACACAGTCACACTGACACTCCTTTCGCAGCTAACCCAACCACACCTCTTGCTGTGCCATTCTTGTTTTTTATCTTCTGAAAAAATATCTGCCATTCATTCAGTTGATCAATCAGGCCAATAACTTCTTGCCGCCGGGCATCTCTGAAACACTGCTCACTGAATCACTGTTCTGGGTAAGGAATCCAAGATAGCAAGATACTCAAATCATACAGATATGACACTGGTGAAGCACAGGACTTTAAAATGCAGTGCCATTCTGCAGTGTAAGATGTACTGAAGAATGAAGATGGCCAATCTCATTTCAGTGCAAATGCAGGAGCTAGCAGACAGCAATCGGTGGTTGTGTGATGTGTCTGTGCATGGAAAGAGCCAGATCAATTGCAATATTGCATTAGCTTTGTTCTGCTGTGTTCTTTTGCCTGGAAAGTGCCAACAAATTTTGGGTAGCTATTGGACAAGTGCAGAATAGTCTGTCTAAGTCTGGTGTGTGCGTGTGTTCCAGTGTGATTTGCTTGGAAAAGGACCTGCAAATTACTAGTACCACTTGTAGGTTAGCAATGCAGTTTCTTGTCTGAATATTAAAGATTCAGGCCGTGGTGAGAACATAACGAACCTACCTAGTTGAACAGTCGTCAGTCATCAGTCACCAGGTCAAGTTTTCAAATGGAAAATGAAAATGAAATGGTATGACCAGCTTAGGTCTTTATTGGTAACGGTATTGTATAGTAGATGTTAAGGGTTATGTTGGGCATCTTTTCTTAGATAATGGCAAATTGTGTTGGGTACTATCTAACATCTCACTTACTAGATGCATCATGCATGTGAGCAGATGCTAGCATCATTGATCATAGCAACATATGCTTGTTATATTTTTAATGACTTGACCTCCTTAAGTCCTTTTGTGTTGACCTGGAGGAAGACTTGTACCACGAAAAAAAAACTTTCTTGTTTAAATACTAAAGGGTCCAAAAGATTAGGAATACATTTACATAAAATATAACTCCCTTTTAAAACCTTTTTAAAAGTTACTTTCAAAAAACAAACTTTTAAAGTCAGTCAAGTGTTTTTCCACAAGGAAATTTCCACTGATTTTGGACGAGAAACATATTCTTCCACGCGGTTTTCTGGGCTCAATTCAACTGATTTTCATGGATATTAACAGTTTAATATTACAAAAGAACTTAAGAACCACGGCAATTGTCAGATACTCTGGAAAACAATTAATCATAGAGAGGTTTTTCTTCGATAACTATTATGGTCCTTGAAATAATACGTTGAGGTAAAAAGTTCACTATAAAATTTAAGTACCTCGAGATACTTAATACTTGGAGATACCAAATTTTCAAGCGTGAAAATATGATATCTTCTTATATCTTTTAAAATATTTTTTTTCAGTACTCGAGGAGGTACCACTAAACTTGTAATGTTAAAATTTGTCGTACCTCTTATTACCTCGGTTTGTGCCTACATTATTCCATTACCTGATTCTAACAACGCATGAGTTATCGACTCTGAAACGTGATCTTTTGTGAAAAGCCGGTGAGCAGAAGAACAGAAAGAACCATCGTGTTTCAGGTGAGCCGGGGAGCAATGACTAGCTGACTGACAGAGACACACGCAGACACGGTCAGGTTCTAGTCAGTCATGTGCTTTCACAAGAGCCCCCCTTAAATCGACCATCGCTTGCACAAAACACCGTGATTTTGATTTCTCACGTTTGACTCGCCCTCCAACCAAATACTCCGTAATTCAGAGTTTTCTCTTAAAAAAAACGCCAGTTCAGAGTTCAGACCTGATTGAGGTCCGATATTTAATGAAGTAAAGATTCTAATAAGTAGTTAATGACAAGTCAGCCGGTGAGAATCTAAGTTAAGTTTGATTTCTTAGGTTTTTGTTTATGATTTATTTTCTAGATTATATGGTTAACAGTTTTTAGAATTGATGTGATGTCAGAATCTCCCCCCTCATTAACTCTCCTTCCTCTTCTGAAAGTGTTTCTTGTTTTAGTCCGGATGGCCGTGTAATTGATTGTACAGAAGATATAAGCGAGTTAAAGCGCAGTTCTTAATCTTAATTAATCAGATCAGTAGAAAAGTAATTAAGTATGGCAATTTACTAATTTGATAGTGTAATTAAACTACAGAGTTGGTGAGGTGTCAATGAGTGAGCCAGTGATGGCGAGTTGACGTCAGACGGGTCGCCCACTCTGTGTGAGTGCAGGCAAGCATCATTGCCTTTCTCTGCATATGTCTCTTTCGATCTTGTCCCACTTAATTTCTACGCTGTTGCAGTTGACACCAATGGATTAAGCAGTGGAAGCTGCAGCTGAAGATGGCGCGAAAGTACCGGCTCCCTCTCCTGCAATCTTCAGGAATACCACAAATTCAGACAAGTGTTTTTCAAAAAATGTCTCCTATCAATATAAAAAAAACATGAAAATCTCATTTGATGGAATGGGCAGAACTGCTGCCACTGTTCAAAAAAGAGAAGTGGAGTACATTCACAGAAGAAGCAGTACATGTTTCGGCACGTCTATTGGTAGTAGTATTTTATTTATAGTATTTGATCTTAAACATTGATTTATAAGTCTATAAAAAATATTCTATCATCAATAGTAGATGTGGTGGTAGTTATAAAAGTGAGTATTCTAGATTAATTTTAGACAACGCTAGTAGAGACTATTGTAAAACATCTCAATATTGTTTACGATCTAAAGACAAAATTTACAACTTATGATGTAATATAGTACTTTGATCATTAATTTATTCGATGTTATGTTATCAACGAATATAAAATTAACATACTTTAAAATATAAATATAGTGATGTAACACATGCATAGTATTTAACATAGATATGGTTAGTATGATTATTAATAAAAAGTTATCGAGTTTAAATTTCTTTAGAAAAAGTGTGCCCTGTAATTCAGAACGGATGGAGTACTACATTAAGCGATGGAGCCTGTCTAATTCATGATGGTACACAACCATGACCAAACCAATTCTCCTAGTATGAAAATCCAGCTATCTAAGCAGATCCCCAGACAAAATCCATGGATTTAGCAGCTTGACAGGAGGATCCATGGTAGCCACACAATTTACATGCGTCTCAGCCCTCTTCATCTTCAAGAGATTCAGGCATGCATGCAGAGCAGAGAGGAAGGCAACAAACAGTCGACACAACTAACGCACTACGATCTCATCGGTGACAGGAAACTTATCACCAATCCACCGCTACAGTACGTTGATCATGCTTTGTCATTGGGCCCTGGCCTGAATTATGCAAAGGATGGTTGGTTAGGATGGAAGGAATATTATCGATCGAGCTCATGAGAAAGAAATGCCTGAATGTCATTGCAAGTTGCAACATGATATGGCATATTCATGGGCTGACTCTTCTATAACTAATAAGTAACTAACAGGAGATATTCTTAAGTGCCCAATTGCTCAGTGTTTCATACGTATTTAGGAAGACTAGATCTTTCAAAAGAAAAAAAAGGAAGACTAGTCTTTCACATCAAAGACGAGTGAGTTTCATAGAATTGGGTATACATGTTGACCAAACTACCAAGAATTACAGTGTATTTCAAGGAAACTTTGCACCTAGTGTATGGGTGTGTTTGCAAGTGGAGGATGGGAACCCATCCCTCCTGCACGTAAAACGAAACGGCCTTTTAACACACGTGATTAATTAAGTATTAGATTTTTTTAAAAAAAATGGATCAATATGATTTTTTCAAGCAACATTTGTATATAAATTTCGAAAAAAAAAGCACCGTTTAGTAGTTTGAAAAGCGTACGCGCGGAAAACGAGAGCTGGGTGGCAGAGGGAGTGCCGAACATAGTACATACCATCTGTCAACCTTTCAAAAACTGGGAAAAAAAACACCCATAAAGACAGGATGCAGTACAAACTCGCATTCCCCAATTCCGGTCGATCCGAGCCGTCCATCCCCGATCGGACGGCTCTCCCGACGTGCAGTTTGAACGGAGCGCGCGACCGCGCGCGTGAGCCCAAGCTTCAAGTACGTACACACATGGAAAACGAAGAGGACCAAGGACTCTGAGGCCTGGACCGACCAGAGGCAGTAGTGAGCCCAGTGAGGAAGATGACCAGGACATGCACGGAGCTAAGCACCACAAGAATGCAAGATGAGCTGGTTGGTGTCAAGTCTTTGTATCCCCCTGCTTCGATCAACCACAGTGCATGCATCCACAATTAACATCACAAATGTAACGAAAGTAGACTGGATTAGCCAACCTGTCATTGGTCTACTTATTTTTTGGTATCCTCTGAGAATTTTTTGGAGCAATTGGCAGAAAACACACTTTAAAATCGTGCGAATTTTAGACCGTATGATTACTTTAGAACTATTCTAACGGAATTATAACCCTAGCCCCACCCCTCATCTCCTCCCTACTCACTTCTAGCCACCACTAGATCACTTGTTCGCCCGCTCAATGCCTCTTGTCACTACGCGGAATCACCGGTTGGCCGGAAGGTATCAACGCACCGGCGAGACCTCCCTGATCGGCCTCCTTCCCGTCCCCCTTCCCCTTTCCCTCTCGCTTCTCAAGCCAGCAACAACGAGGTGCTCCCACTCTGATGTCTTTCTCATGTTTAGTGGTTCTCTCCGCCGTCGGATCCACCACCAGTACTGGTCACTGCCTTTTAACTCAAGTTTGCTTTGCCCCGCCACCAATGTTGGCCCACCGCCCTCCTGCATCCCCCTTTGTCGGTACCGGCAGCACCACCTCATCACCCATCCTTATCCACCCCCACTGCAAGGCCACCATCTCCCATGTCCATTTCTTTTAAGTCCGGTGATCTTCCTCCTCTTTCACCTCCTCCTCTCTAAACTAGGACCCTATATAAAACCTAATTCAACCGTCTTTGTTGAGGTCATCGGAGGTGAAGGAGAAGAGCTCGGGTAGTGGAGCACGGATCGTGAAGTAAATCCTAATATCATAAATCTGCAAGATTTTAACCCTAATTTTCTATCAGACGTCATTTAGCAATTCCATTAAATTAAGGAGTAGCTTCACGTACTTTCGATTTCTCTCGCAACCACGTCCAAGGACACGAGAATATGATTTTAGTACTATCGAATTCTGACGATCACATGTAAGAATAGTATTCCTGATATTTCATCATCTCTATATTTTTTTAGAAGCTTCTTCATCTCTATTAATTTATTAAAAGAGGCACATTTCACATGTACGTATGCATTTATTAAAAGACGCACATTTCACATGTACGTATGCATTTTTATGTAGGGGTAACCAGGAGAAAAAAAAAACTCCTCGTTGATGTATACACTTGTTTGTTGACTTGACCAGACGCAATGACACAGCAACTCGGTTAATTAGCGCGCAACTGCTCCCTTAATTTCTTCTCCATAATTAGAGCTTTTTTTACTTAAACTTATTGACTTAGATTTTAACTCAGCTTATTAGCTTATGAGTATGATTTATAAACCGGTGAATTTAATATTCTAATTTTAATGGTGGAGTCATACATCTACGTCGCATAAACTAAAAAACTTCTCTAACCTAGCTTTTAGTTTAATAGTGTTAGAGTGGTATTAGCATAAATAAAACCAAATGAAAAAGCTACTCCTTCCGTTTCACAATGTAAGTCATTTTAGTATTTTCCATATTTATATTGATGCTAATACATCGTGAAATGGAGGATTTACTTGTTTCTTTAGAGTTAGATTTTTCGGCTTAAACTCTTCCGACTCTCACCGATCTCAAAGCCAAGCTCGCGCGTGTCTATATATACTCCACCCTCGCGACCTCTCCCTCACACTCTCACCACACCAAACCTAGCAGCAGCAGCACACGTACGCACTCGATCACACGTGCGCATCATCTCCATCTCCTCAACAATGGCGGGCTCGACGGCGGCGGCGCTGAAGTTCACGGTGAGGAGGAAGCCGGCGGAGCTGGTGGCGCCGGCGGGGCCGACGCCGAGGGAGCTGAAGAAGCTCTCGGACATCGACGACCAGGACGGGCTGAGGTTCCACATCCCGGTGATCCAGTTCTACCGGCGCAGCGCCGCCATGGGTGGGCGCGACCCGGCGCCGGTCATCCGCGCCGCCGTCGCCAGGGCGCTCGTGAGCTACTACCCGTTCGCCGGGAGGCTCCGGGAGCTCGAGGGGCGGAAGCTCGCCGTCGACTGCACCGGCGAGGGCGTGCTGTTCATCGAGGCCGACGCCGACGTGAGGCTCGAGCACTTCGGCGGCGCGCTGCAGCCGCCGTTCCCGTGCCTGGAGGAGCTCGTGTTCGACGTCCCCGGCTCGTCGGAGGTGCTCGGCTCGCCGCTGCTGCTGTTTCAGGTGACGCGGCTGGCGTGCGGCGGGTTCATCCTCGCCGTGCGGCTGCACCACACGATGGCGGACGCGCAGGGGCTCGTGCAGTTCCTCGGCGCGGTGGCGGAGATGGCGCGCGGCGGCGCGGCGGCGGCGCCGTCGGTGGCGCCGGTGTGGGGGCGGGAGATGCTCGAGGCGCGGAGCCCGCCGCGGCCGGCGTTCGCGCACCGGGAGTACGACGAGGTGCCGGACACCAAGGGCACCATCATCCCGCTCGACGACATGGCGCACCGCTCCTTCTTCTTCGGCGCGCGCGAGGTCGCCGCCGTGAGGTCCCACCTCGCGCCGGGCATCCGGGAGCGCGCCACCACGTTCGAGGTGCTCACCGGCTGCCTCTGGAGGTGCCGCACGGCGGCGCTGGCTCCCGACGACGACGAGGTGATGCGGATGATCTGCATCGTGAACGCGCGCGGCGGCGGCAAGAGCGGCGGCGGCGCCGGCATGATCCCGGAGGGGTACTACGGCAACGCGTTCGCGTTCCCGGTCGCCGTCGCCACCGCCGGCGAGCTCCGCGCGAGGCCGCTGGGCTACGCCGTCGAGCTGGTGAGGGCGGCGAAGGGCGAGGTGAGCGTGGAGTACATGCGGTCGGTGGCCGACCTGATGGTGCAGCGCGGCCGGCCGCACTTCACGGTGGTGCGCGCCTACCTCGTCTCCGACGTGACCAAGGCCGGGTTCGGCGACCTCGACTTCGGGTGGGGGAAGCCGGCGTACGGCGGGCCGGCGAAGGGCGGCGTCGGCGCCATCCCCGGCGTGGCGAGCTTCCTCATCCCGTTCAAGAACGCCAAGGGGGAGGACGGCATCGTCGTGCCCATGTGCCTGCCTGGCCCCGCCATGGACAAGTTCGTCGAGGAGATGGGCAAGCTGATGAAACCCGCCGCCGCCGCCACCGCCGCGACGCGGCAGCAGCCGGCCGACATGTTCGCCATGATCAAGTCTGCGCTCTGAATCGATCAGCCGCGCGCACTATGTGTGTTTGTGACGAGTTCCCTCTTCATTTTGTACCATGGTAAAAATATGTACTTGAATAACTCCGATGAATTGCAATGTATAATACTCCTTCCATTTTATATTATAAGTCGCTTTAACTTTTTTCATAATTAAACTTTGTATATTATAAGTCGCTTTAACTTTTTTCATAATTAAACTTTGTTAAGTTTGACTAATTTTATAGAAAAAAACTAGCAACATTTTAAACACCAAATTAGTTTCACTAAATCTAGCATGGAATATATGTTAATAATATATTTGTTTTGTGTTAAAAAAATATTATTACTATATTTTTCTATAAATTTAGTCAAACGTAAAGAAGTTTGATTAGAAAAAAAAATTAAAACGACTTATGATATGAGACAGAGGAAATGATATGAAGAAGTAGTAAGTTTTTTTTTCTCGATTGTAAGGTGATATCTTGTGTCGAAAAAAAATGTCACAAATTCTTTGGGGAATTTGACGAGGGTGATGCACTGCTAGCAGAGTATCAGTACCTGAAAATGGACATCACGAGGCATGCACTAAACGACACTAGGAGAAGAAATGTCACATCTTTAATAAGATTTTGATTGATTAACATTTCCACGTCACAAAATGCATATGCGTGTCAGCTTGTGTAGAATCCCTTTCATTAGTTTGGGACTAATTTTGAATCATCGAGATGGAAATGGAATGCAAAAGGATAAAAAAATTGAAGATGAAATTCTTCTCCTGATACCTCTCGCGGTCTCGCCTTGTGGTTGGTTGATACATAATCACCTCTCGTGTTGATGATATCGATAACTCCGGTTAAGCCATTTGAGCGAACACCATGACAGCGTCAAGCAGCCTCGTCCTTCTCCCCCTCCTCGCCGTCGCCGCCGCCGCCGCTGCCGTCTCACTCTGCGTGGCGGCGCCGTTACCGGGACGGCGGCTGCTGCAGGCGCCGGGAGGGGCGTGGACGCCGGCGACCCGCACATCGAGGGGCTGGGGAACTGGGCGGCGAGCAAGCACGACCGGGCCAACGGCGAACACCTGGTGTTCTCCAGCAGGTGTCCCGCGCCGAGAGCCAGGACGTCGTCGGCGTGGACTACCTCCACCACATCAAGGCCGTCGCCGGCGACGCCGGCGGCACGGCGCTCGTCGCCGAATACGGCATTCGGAAGCTCATCTCCTTCGACGCGGAGTGAGCAATTCATCAGCCCATCTCGCGCGGAGAAGAACCCGGCTCTTGCGCGAAATAACAGTAAACATTTTGAAAATTTATACTGCATTCATCATTTCATCTTGAGCACGTTCGCATTGTCAGATTTTGAATTCGAAAGTAAACAGAATTTTAAAGGATTACAGTGCTACCTGCATGCTCAAAATCATCGTCAGACCCAAAATTTCTCTCTCTTCTCCGAAGAGCGTTACGGCCCAAAAACTTCAACCCAGCCCAACCCAATTTTGAATTATAGGCCAGAATGGGCTGGGCCGGACGTATTCTGAAGCCGTCCAGTTCAACCAAAAAAGGAATAAGTCTATTTTACCCTCAACCGCAAAACCGGGTATAACGTCTCTCCCATCTTTGAAAACCGATGCAAATCATCTCCTTCGATGGTTTGAAAACTGGTGCGAATCAACTCCTTCGATATGTAGACCTACCACATATGTTTTGTCATACATCACTAACGTGGATCCCGCTGCAGAAAACCGCTTATTAAACCACCGAACGAGTCGATTTGCACTGGTTTTCGAAGATAGGGGAGACGTTATACTCGATTTTACGGTTGAGAATGTGATTTAATCGGGAGCGAGAGTTGAGGCAGTCAATAGACTTATTCCAAAAAAAAAAAAGCCAGAGGTAAAGTCGAAACTGCAAAGGAATGGAGGAGAAAGTGAGGCCAGATTTGGCCCGAATCCCGGCCGATTCGGGCCACGGATGGCTCCTGATCAAAGCTGCCTCTCCAAATCTGGCCCGGATTCGGGCCACGGATGGCTCCTGATCAAAGCTGCCTCTCCAAATCTGCCGGGCCAGAAAGAGACTTTGGGCAAGCAAGAAGGCATCTGGTTCGTGTGATGCCGCACCATCCGATCGTGTGCCGCTCCCATTCTCCGCGTGCAGACTGCAGAGCTCAGCTCGGGTCAAGATTTGCAGGTGTGTGAAATTGACAAAAACACCACCTCTTGGAAACCGGTGATGATGAAATTGTCTCCAGATATTTATTCAAGCTGAAAAGCACTCGAACCTGTACTCTTCTTTAGAAAGGGACTTGAATGATGAATCTGTACTACACAATGTGGTCATATATTAAAGTGGGGGGAAAAACACGAACCACAACTTCACAATTAACTTGCTGTCTTGCTTGCATCCATTTTCTAGTTATGCAATGCAAGGTGCCAAGGTGGTTACTTCAGAAAGTGAGACTGCTGCCAAGATTAGATCACTTTTTTCCTTTAAAAAAATAACTAGGAGTATCATACCTATACCGTTGGAATGAGATACTGTTCTATGGTATCGTTGTAGCTTTTCTCTTAAACTTACTCTCTGATAAGCAACCTAGAAATGCTTATATTTTCGAACGAAAAAATTACACCACTAAAATTGTGTTCGTTTGTTTGTGTTTGGAGGAGATTTCCACTCACATGCAAAACGAGAAAGCTCGTTAGAACAAAATTAATTAAACGTTAACTACTACAAACTTGAAAATTGAATGTATTTGATTTTAAGGAAACTTTTATATATTTTTTCTTTAAAAACACACTATTTGATAAATTGAAAAACGTGCTGATGGAAAATTATGATGTCGTAGGACCGATTCACTTTATTACCACTTTCAACCATACCAAATTTTGGTACAGTAACAAACTAAACACTATCTTACCAATACCATTCTACCATAGTTCCAGATTTTTCTGCTCACAAAATATTAGGGTGTGTTTAGTTCACACTAAAATTGGAAGTTTGGTTGAAATTAGAACGACGTGATGAAAAAGTTGGAAGTTTGTGTGTATATGAAAGTTTTAATGTGATGTAAAAGTTGATAGTTTGAAGAAAAAATTTGTAACTAAACAAGGCCTTAGTACCAAAATTTGGTAATAAGGTTGAAATTGACAACAAAAGTAAACACGCCCGTAGTTTGAAGTCGTAGGGCCTGTTCACTTTGATGCCATTTTTAACCTTACCAAGTTTTAGTAAAGTTGCCAAAAAAAGTAGATACATTTAGTTTGCTGTCAAATTTTGGTAACTATATAAGAAATCCTGCCAAAATTTTGGCAACTATACTAAAATTTTGACATGTCAAAATTTAGTAAAGTTTTGTTTTGACATCAAAGTGAACAGACCTAAAGAAAAGAACCTGCCCTAATAAGCAATTTTTTCTCCTTCTTTTGGTATGACTATCGAACGGATGGCCGCAAAAACTCCCCGTTGCGGTCAGGAATCCGCATATATGTCGCCGCCGTCGGTTGGACCCCCCCCGACAACGCCTCCACCGGTAGGAGCCGCGTCCTCCGCGCGCGAGCGCGAGTTATCCTCACCACCCACCGCTCGTCGCCTCCACTCCGATCGCCGCCGCGCGGCAGGGGAGGGGGGGAGGGTATCCTCACCGCCGGTGCCCTCACCGCGGCGACCCTTCAAAATCCCCCAGGACGCCGGGAGGGGATCGGCTCCGACTCCGTCCGAGCACGCGCCACCGCCACCGCCACCGCCATTGTGGGCCCTCGATCCCGGGGCGGCGCGCGATGTGGCGTCACGCGGCGCGGCGGTCGTCGGCGCAGATCCGGCGGAGCGGGGTCATGTCGTCGTCGTCGTCGCCGGCGGCCCCCGCTGCCGCGGCCGGCGCCGCGGTGCCCGGCCCCTGCATCGTCCACAAGCGCGGCACCGACATCCTCCACGACCCATGGTTCAACAAGGTACCCGATCTCGCGATCTGCATGCCTCGCTCTCGCGCGCTGGGGCTCTCACGATTTCGTTTCTGGCACACCGCAGGACACGGCGTTCCCCATGACGGAGCGGGATCGCCTTGGCCTCCGCGGCCTCCTCCCGCCGCGGGTCATGTCGTTCGAGCAGCAGTACGACCGCTTCAGTGAGTCTACCCCGTCCACTTCGCCGAATTTTCGCCCGCGAGATCACCTGATATCTGCTGCTTTGCCTAATGTGGCGTGTGATGCGCTTGCCGCTTGCTGTGTTGCAGTAAACTCGTTCAGGTCGCTGGAGCACAACACCCGGGGAGAGCCCGACACCATCGTCGCGCTGGCCAAGTGGAGGATCCTCAACAGGCTGCACGACCGGAACGAGACGCTGTACTACAGAGTGAGCGCGCTCTCTCGATGTTGCAGTGGCGATGGTTGATTCATGAGCTCAAGGTGTTTGCGTGTTTGATTGTCTGATGCGGTGGTGTTCGTCTGTTTTTGCCAGGTTCTAATTGACAATATCAAGGATTTCGCGCCGATAATATACACTCCGACTGTTGGGTTGGTCTGCGAGAATTACAGTGGCTTGTTCAGGCGCCCCCGTGGGATGTATTTCAGCGCCAAGGATAAGGGGGAGATGATGTCGATGATTTACAACTGGCCAGCCGAGAAGGTACACCTGAGTACTTGACTGTTATAGAATAACAATTTATTTGGACACCGATGTTCTTACTAGTATATCAAAGAAAGAGATTGGTCAAGATCGAAATTCAATCAATGAGATATGAAATCAAACAAATGTGTGCTGATTACTGTGCAAATGCTTGCGATTTTCCAGAGATAGGCTGCATACTGAATGCTAATAGGCAATTGTACAATAATCTACGCTTAAACCAATAGTCAGCTTTCATCCATGTCGTACACCATTTTATGCTTGTTGCTATATAAATATTTCTACAAACCATTGAAACTTCATGCAGCATAATTGGTTCCATTTCTGCTTGTGTTGAACCTCTGCATCTGATTGGCCGTTGCTTATTTCAGGTTGACATGATAGTTGTGACTGATGGGAGCCGTATTCTAGGTCTAGGTGATCTTGGAGTTCAGGGCATAGGTATACCTATCGGTAAACTTGATGTTTATGTTGCCGCTGCTGGTATCAATCCACAAAAGGTTTGTAATATACTCTTCCCATCTGGCACAGTAAGAGAAATGACCACGAAGAAATATGTTTCCACACATTGTTCCAACAAGACATAACAGCCAAGAGAAATGACCATGAAGAAATATGTTTCCATACATTTTTCCAACAAGACATAACAGCCAGTAGCACAGAAAAAAAATCAATAATATACTGTTATTTTTCATTTATCCTTTTCTCAACCTTTTCCCACTTCTGGTATGTAGGTTCTTCCAATTATGCTTGACGTTGGAACAAATAACACAAAGCTTCTAGAAGACAAGCTATGTGCGTAAGATACATCACACAACTTCTCAAACTCTTTCACTACTTTGGAGTAAATTCCTGTATCATAACTTAACTTACCAAGTATTTCCTTAGATTTAGGACTGAGGCAACCTAGGCTGGAAGGAGAAGAATACTTGTCTGTTGTAGATGAATTCATGGAAGCTGTTCATGCACGTTGGCCGAAAGCAGTTGTGCAGGTTCGTGCACTTTCTGGTAATGTTTTGTTACCTAACCAAGTGATGCACCATTACTGAAGTTGTAAAGTTACAGTTTGAAGACTTCCAAATGAAATGGGCCTTTGAAACTCTTCAGAGGTATCGGAACCGATTTTGTATGTTCAATGATGACGTGCAGGTATTTTGATTGCCTGACTAGCTATTCTGTGTCTTTTAGCATGGATTATTGCCTTCCCAACTTCATATTATTGTTTGTTGCGCTTGTCATATCCAATAGGGGACAGCAGGAGTTGCTCTAGCTGGCCTACTTGGAGCTGTGAGAGCACAAGGTCGACCCCTCTCTGATTTTACTAAGCAGAAGATAGTTGTGGTGGGAGCTGGAAGGTATATGATATGTTTGATATGCTTGCATTTTTCTATCAGTTTATTTCATACAAGGTATTTCTTGTCAAAAGTCTGTTTCCTCCGTTCTAATTCCTCTTTAGAATCCAGTGCTGGGATAGGTGTGCTTAATATGGCTAAACAGGCGATGCTAAGGATGCCAGGGATAAACAGGAGCGGGGAAGGGCATAATCAATTCTGGGTTCTGGACAAAGATGTAAGCTATTTTATGCAAGAAAATATCAACTTCTCTTTTCCAATATATATCTTCTGCCATACATGTGTTCAATTGCAATTCTGGGGCAAGCTTTATAAAGTCCTGTTTTTACATGAATAATAGGTTTGCTTCTTATTTTCCACTGTTATGCTGTACCATGCAGGGACTTATTACCAAATCCAGAAAGGGCCTGGATCCTGCAGTTGCTCGCTATGCCAGAGGTTTTGGTCCTGAAGAGGTGCAAGATCTCCATGAGGGGGCTAGTCTTGTTGAAGTGGTATAAAAATAATTCTAGGATTGTTTTTTTCCCCTCAGCTGCTGGAGCTAAAATATTTTATTGTAACAGAAGATTTTCCAGTGCTTCTGTGCTTGTGCTTGAACTAATTCAGCTTTATACTGATCATCAGGTCAGGAAAGTGAAGCCTCATGTGCTTTTAGGACTTTCTGGAGTTGGGGGCATATTTAATGAGGAGGTAAGAATCAACAATTCCTAACATGTTGATTTCATAATTTTACCCCAAAAAAAAGTTGAAGAATGGTCCTCACTTATAAATATGACTAGTCAGACTAGGGACTTTTCAGTGCAGTAAATAATCCATCTAAAAAAAGTGGCTCCCATATTAGTTCCCCGCAACTTCTAGATGTATTTCACAGTACCAGTAATATTTATATGTTCAATATAGCAATAGCCAGTACACCCTTTCAAATCTGATGCTAGTGATTGGTAGCACATTGAGTTAGAATATTTTCTCCAACCTTATAAAGGATTTTGTGAGGTTTACATTAATGGGCCATTTCTATACTGTTTTAGTTTGCTTCATTATGATTTGTGAGTAAACCATGGTTACAAGAGCATCAAATATGTATTTGTGTTGTTAGGTTTCAAAAGTTCTCTCCTTTGCAAATGTAATAATATTAAGCCGGCTTGTTGCGAAGTGCTAAATCATGATCCTAGTGGATTTCATCTGTTAGGGTATACTCATATGTTCTCTCTTATAAATTTCAACATTGGAGTCTTAACTTTATCTTTGTACCTCTGCAGGTTCTCAAGGCTATGAAAGAATCCGATTCCCCTCGTCCTGCAATTTTTGCAATGTCCAACCCAACTACTAAAGGTTCCTCACCTCACCCATTAATATTTACTTCTAGGATACCCAAACATAAATGCCTGATATTTATATTTTTCTTATTACAGCCGAATGTACTCCTGAAGATGTATTCAAATATGTTGGAGACAATGCAGTATTTGCCAGTGGAAGCCCTTTCAGTAATGTCACTTTAGGTATGCCCTATTTAACATTCTCTATATCATTTCATTTTGCTAGCACTTTTGCATAAGACCACTTATTTTATAATGTGGTTGTCCCAGGCAATGGTAGACAAGGGTACGCTAATCAAGCAAACAATATGTATCTGTTTCCTGGGTATGACAACTGTTATAGCTTACCTTGAAATGCTTGTTTTTTTTTCCTTTTTTATATGTTATTCTGATGGACGTTTCTGTATAATTCAGTATCGGTTTAGGAGCCCTTCTTTCAGGTGCTCGGCATATTACAGATGGCATGCTCCAATCAGCAGCTGAGTGGTAAGTTTTATTCTGTTGTTTGATCGGATCATATTTTCGCTTGTTGTCTTGTAGCTCTATTTCTTAAGATCTCAACTGCACTAACAAGTACAATTACTGATGTCCAGCATATTAGACAGTGTGACGTAAAAAGCTTACACGCTTCAGCCGTACTTTTTGACAAAGTAGTGTTTTCTCCACCTTAAATTGCACAATTTCTATAATTAATGTATCTTGGATGGTTTGTATGATTTGTTTTTTTTCCTGGTAAATTGAGGGTGTGTGTTCACGCCAAAATTGGAAGTTTGGTTGAAATTAGAACGATGTGATGGAAAAGTTAGAAGTTTGAAGAAAAAGTTTGGAACTAAACTCGGCTTGAGCTATGCATCTAATCTAGTGATTTCTGACGCAGCCTTGCGTCATACATCACAGACGATGAAATTCGAAAAGGCATCCTCTTTCCATCAATCTCAAGGTTAGCTCTTCCATCCAACCTGCGCCATTGCAGACTGATAGGCAGCATGATACCATAATCCAACCATTCCACTTTTGCTAATCAACATACCACCATGAAAAATGCAGTATCAGGCACATCACCGCACGTGTCGGCGCCGCAGTCGTCCGTGCCGCTGTTGATGAAGATCTGGCCGAGGGGCGTTGTGATGTAGACGCTAGGGACCTCAAGAGCATGACTGAGGTACTGCATCATACATAATTTCAAATCCCTGAAGTTGAATTTTTTGCCAGTTTGGCGTCTGAAATGTGTCATTTTACATGTGTGCACAGGCGGACACAGTCGACTTTGTGGCTCGGAAGATGTGGTACCCTATTTACAGCCCCCTCGTGAACGATAAGTGAAGCTCGATGAAGTGAAAAATCTGACGTTGCATGAACCAGATGTAGCACCTGAACAACTATCAGTCACATATTTGTTCAGACTTATTTTTTTTGTTGCTATTTTCATTTAGCTGCGCTACTGGAGGGTAATTCAGCAGATACCGATGCCCACGTCTATGGCTATGTTATCACGCCACGCCATTTTTTTGTTCTGTTTTGACAGCTTCCGTCATCAAACGTTGCTCAATTTCAAGATTAGTTGAGCTACATAAATTTACATCTCGTGCTTTACTACATTCTACTAATATATTTTTTTTGGATATTGATCTATCACTCTATCCCTGCATTGCCATTGTTTAACCCAGCAGCGCATTTGCAAAATGAGCATAAAAACCCACAGGTTGCAGTTGCTGAAGTGAGATGGCATTCTTTATCATAAAATGTTATATTAAGTTCATTCTAGGTCCCTTAATTTGTCGCTGAGTCCGAAATTCATCCCTTTAGTACAAAACCGGGTACAACACATACTTATAAAACCGTGTAAAGAAGGTCCCTCGGCAGTATTGTACTTGGTTTTGGCTGACGTGGCGCCTATGTGGCTCCGTTGACTAGGTATTCATTCCACGTGGCGTGGCGCTTACGTGGCAATTCAATCTAAAAAAATAAAAATCATGGGGCCCACATATCAGCTACACGCAAAATAATAATGAATGGTGGGACCCATTTGACCCCACATGTCATCCCTCTTCTCTCTATCTTCTCTCTCCGGAATCAGCTCCTCTGACTTCAGCCCTCACGACAGCAGAGAGCAGTCGAGGTCATCCAGCCGTCCACGTTTGATCGAACCGTCCGCCCAAAAAGCGCACGGCCGCGTCGTGAGTCTGGGCCAAGGCCGGCCCAACAAGCCTCGTCCTCCAGCGCCGTCTGTCTCGCTCCTATTCCTTTTTACCGCGAACAGATGCGTTTTGGCGGCCGTGCTCGCCTTTTTGGCGCCAAACGAGGCCACAGCGCCAGGCGATCATCTGAACCCTTCTCTTCCTTTTTTTTTCAGCACGGATTCCACCGTTGATCAAGCACAGGTGAAGTAATCTGGCCTCTTCTCTTCCTTTTTTTCAGCAAATTATTTGATTGTCTTCCACCTCCTCCATTAGACAGTGTTGGAATAATTCATCAAAGAAGCCTCCAGCAAAATCTGCATATTTGAGATGGAAGAAAACAGGTCTGTAAAGCTATGGTTGTTACTTTTTTCACCATGATCGGGTAGATTTTACTTGTTCGATGACCACCAAATCATTTTTTTTTTGTTCCTGTAGAGTGGGTGTGCTACCTAGTTTGTTACCTGAAGTTGGCATGGAATTCAATACTGTTGATGAGGCTTGGATGTTTTGGGTTAGCTATGGTGGTCAAAAAGGTTTCGAGGTTAGAAAAAGGTACTCAAACAAAAGGAAATCAGATGGAAAGGTTAGGTCATGCAGATATGTTTGTGCAAATGAGGGTCATAGAAAGGAGGATAAAAGGGATCATCTAACAAAGTGTCCAAGAGCTGAAACGAGAACCGATTGTCAAGTTCGCATGGGTGTTGTGCTAGATCAGGAGAAAGGGAATTATAAAGTGGCTGATCTAGTTTTGGAACACAATCACATCCTTCAATTGCCAGAAACCTCGCACTTGATGGTGTCTCAAAGGAAAATTTCAGAGTTACAAGGTTTTGAAATTGAGACAGCTGACGATGCGGGCATTGGGCCCAAAGCAGCACATCAGTTGGCTAGTATCCAAGTTGGTGGCTCACTTAATCTCAATTGCACTCTCCGTGACCACAAGAATTATTTACGGGGCAAACGCCAACGAGAGATGGTATATGGTCAAGCAGGAAGCATGCTCATGCATTTTCAAGATAAAATTGCTGAGAACCCGTCATTTCAATATGCATTGCAGATGGATAGTGAGGAGCAAATAGCAAACATATTCTGGGTTGATGCTAAAATGCTCACTGACTATGCATATTTTGGTGATGTTGTCAGTTTTGACACTACTTTTGGAACAAACAAGGAAAGTAGGCCTTTTGGTGTATTTGTTGGGTTCAATCAGTTTAGGGAAACAATGGTTTTTGGTGCTGTTCTACTGTATGATGAGACATATGAGTCCTTCAAGTGGTTATTTGAGACCTTCCTAAAAGCACATAATGGCAAGCAACCTAAAACAATCTATACTGATCAGGATTCTGCAATGGGAAAAGCAATTAAGAAAGTGTTTTTAGAATCATGGCATGGTTTGTGCACTTTCCATATCATGCAGAATGCTGTTAAACATGTAGCTGAACTCGAGGATGAAGAATCCAGTAATTCTCCCAAACAGACTGCCGAAGATAACGAGGAAGAACGAAGTATTCTCGCAGATTTTAGTGCATGTATGTTTGAGTACGAAGATGAGGAAACATTTGAACAAGCATTTAGCACCATAAGGGCAAAGGCGAGCAAGCAAAGTTGGTTGGATAGTATATACAAGGTGAAAGAAAAATGGGCTGAATGTTACATGAAGGATGTGTTCACATTAGGTATGAGAAGTACACAGTTAAGTGAGAGTGTAAATAGTGAACTCAAGAGGCATTTCAAATCTGATTTTGATATCATTCGATTTCTTCAGCATTTTGAAAGGGTGGTGGAAGATAAAAGAGAAAATGAGCTAAATGCTGAATTTGAATCAAGGAAGAAAATACCCAGAATAAAAATGAGGACACCTATGCTAATCCAAGCTAGCAAGCTATACACACCAATCATATTCGAAGCTTTTCAAGCTGAATATGAAAGATCCATGGTAGCATGCACCACGGCATTGGAAGGCAACAATTGCTATCTTGTGGCAATTGGCAGTCTAGATGAAAATTGTACCTATGGTAGCATGCACCACGGCATTGGAAGGCAACAATTGCTATCTTGTGGCAATTGGCAGTCTAGATGAAAATTGTACCTTTGAGAAGGAGTACAAAGTTGTTGGTGATCCTTTAGAGCAAACTAGTACATGCGGCTGTGGGATGTTCAGTAGAACTGGAATATTGTGTGCACATGCTTTAAAAGTCCTTGATTTGATGAATATAAAATCTCTCCCATCACAATATGTACTGAAGCGATGGACACGTGGAGCACATAGTGGGACAGTACAAGATAACCATGGACGAAGTATTATAGAGAACCCAAGATTAAATGAGATGCTTCGCTACAAAGATATGACCCGCAAATTTCTCAATTTGGCACTTCGAGCTGCCAGCCATCCAGGGTCTACCTTGTTAGTAAACAACGCACTTGATATCCTTAGCAAGCAAGTTGAAGAAGAAATCAATGGATTTACTGATACCATAGCTCTAGGTCCCACTGATATTACTCCTCCAAGTGACTTGGTGAGTACAGCTCGCCTAAAGAAAAAGGAGGTGGAAACAAAAACCTCAAAGCGCAAAAAAAATTGGCTTGATAAGCTGCACAAGTCCACAAAGAATGGAAGTAACAAGGGAGGTAAGAGAAAGAAAAAAGGTTCAAAGGTATGTGAACATGTTCAGTATTCAAAGTATATTTGTTTCTCTTTCACTGTTCAATGGGAACATGCTCAGTTTTATTTCTTTTATTTGAAGGAACAAAAGACTGCAAAGACGGGAGGCAAGAAAAAGGGAAAAGAAGCATCAGTACATGACAATCCAGCAGGGCAAAATATATATCCTAGTACCTCTTTGCCCATGGAAGAAATGTCTGAACCATACATGGCCATCAACACCTTCTCTCAACTATTGACGGTAATATTTCGAAGCTATGATCAATTAGTATTAACATCGACAGAGTTTAAATTTTCTTTAATTTTTCAGGGAGCAACCGTCGATGATCTTGATGTTGAATTCTAGCAATGGAGTTTGGTTTTGGTGAATAGGCTTTTGGTCTCTGCGGGCTGCGGCACCTGCCGAGATTGTTCTTTTGGCACGCTTGATGAACAGCTTGATCTTTTGGGCAAGGTGAGCATTTATGCATCCATTGGTTGTACCTCCCTTGTTTGTTACTGAACATGTGCAGATGCCCCCATTCACCACTGCCAACAGGTGCTGAACGCAGGGGATGACATGATTGGTGTTGAGCACTTGGAAGAGGATTCTGATGGCAAGGCTCTTCTGAAAGGACGACGCTATGCCGGATCAATGAACACCTTCAGTCTTTTTTATTAACTGAATGCACACGCCTGTGGTTAGTGTGTACAGTTTAGTATGTCATATACACTTGGTACTGGACAGCAGATAGCAAGCATTTTGGGGGACAAAAACTGTTGGTTCTCTTGAACAGGCCATATGCCCAGAATTGGAACATAATTTCATTGCAGTGATAAGTTACAAATGGCCATTTCATCATTTTGTTGGACAAGCCATTCTCACTACAAACAATTTACAGAGTTTTTTTGCTTTCTATACAAATTACAGAACACATGCAACCCCATTTTTCAGAACAAGTGGTCTGCTGCCTGTGTAAAGAACAATCTATCATTCTAATAACTGCACATTCAGTATCTCCAGAATGCCATTCGGTTTGACATACAACAAAGCAACACTCCTGGACGCAGCATTAAGGAGCTGAAGAGGAGGCCGCTGTGTTCCTCCACTCGCTCGCTGCTGAGAGACGGCGAGGAGGAGTTCCTCCTCTCCCTGACTGCCGAGGAGGCCGCTATGTTCCTCCACTCGCTCCCCTCCTCCATTCGCCGCGCGCTGCCTGTCGCGGCGCATGGCCTGCTCGAGCTCGGCACGCGCACATCGAGCTCGTGGCACCGGTGCGCCGTGGCCGCGACCAAGCGCTGCATCGTGCACACCTTCCGGTCCCCATCTCCTCAGCTGAGTACCGCAGCCCGACGGTGAGAGCGAGGGCGGCGAGGAGGACGAGCACGACGGCGAGAGCGAGGGCGGCGCGGGGGACAAGAATGACGGCGATGGCGGCGGCCAGACGAGGAGTACGAGCACGGCTGGGCGATGGCGGCGGCCAAACGGGGACGGGGCTTGTTGGGCCGGCCTTGGCCCAGACTCATGACGCGGCCGTGCGCTTTTTGGGCGGACGGTTCGATCGAACGTGGACGGCTGGATGACCTCGACTGCTCTCTGCCGTCGTGAGGGCTGAAGTCAGAGGAGCTGATTCCCTCTCTCCCACCTGGGCAGAGCAAGGTTGACTGGTTGAGCGGGGTGGAGGCGACAGGCGGGGCGGAGCTGGACGGGCGGTGGCCGGAGCAGGCCAGTGGAGCTAAGCGGCGGTGGCCGGAGCAGGGGCAAGGGGCCACGGCACCGCGATGCCGAGGGGTGACTGGCGGAGAGAGGGGCGGCGGGTGGAGCAGTGGAGAGTGGCGGCGAGCTCCTGGGAGATGGCGACGGGATGAGGCCGAGAGGACGCCAACGGCGAGGTGGAGCACGCACCTCAAGAAGCGGGTGTCGCCGGAGCAGAAGAAGGGTGGGGGCAAGAGCAAGAAGAAGATGACCTGGACCGACGTGCTCGTCCCGTCCCCCTCGCCATCGTCATCCTCCACCGCGACGACCAACTGCTCCAGGCTCCAGCGGCGACTCGGCCGATGCGCAGAGCAACACAAGCAAGGAGGAGGAGGCGGACAAGATCGAGATCCCCATGCTCGACCCCTGTAGCTTGTCATCACGGACGCAACCACTGCTGCCGTTACGGCCATGGCGCCGCCTATCAGCGCCAGAACTTGGTATTTCCCTGAAGAATCTCGCATATTGTTTGCTGCTACTGCTACCAGGGTGGCGGCGAGCGGTGCCAAGCAAGACGGCAGCGACCGAGATGGCTTGCGATGAAGTTGAGTAACCAGTACAGTATCAAGCATTCAAGCTCTACCGCTTTTGCTCAAGCTAAAATCATCGCATCTACAAAGAATCAAGAATTAATTGGCCAGTATCAAGAATAATGACGCGGGCTGTCGTCCTCGTGAGCGGCCTCCTCTCCATCATCTTTAGCGCCCAGCGCCGCCCCGCCAGCCCCTGGGCAGCCCACCGCCGCTCGTGGTTCCGGTTGCGCTCCACCTCCCGAAGCACTTCCTCGTCCTGTTCGCAATCCAGGACCGCGAAGTTGCGTGACGGGCTGACGGCGACGACATGTCGCCTGTGCGTGACAGTGCTGGTCGCCGACAGGTACACGCCGCTGTTCGCCGACGTGCTGTGGTGGGAGGCGTTCTTGGTGGCGGTCGCCGACGTGTCCAGACTGAGGGAGTCGCCGGCGCCGGAGGTGGAGCGCCTCCGCGACGGCGTGCGGCTGGTGAAGAGAGGGGAGAGGAAAGAAGGCAGGCGAAGCTGACAGGTGGGGCCCAGGGCCCCACCATTATTATTTTTTTTGTGTTTAGCTGACATGTGGGGCCACTGTTTTTATTATTTTTCTGGGATAGAATTGCCACATAACGGCCACGTCAAATGCCACGTGGGACGAAGACCAAATCAAACCAGCCACGTTGGCGCTACGTCAGCCAAAACCGCCTTCTAAACCGCCAAGGGACCTCGTTTGCACCGGTTTTGATAGCTCAGGGACCGATTGTATCTGGTTTTTGGGTTGAAGGATGAAAATCGGATTCGGTGTAAAGTTAAGGGACCTAAAATGAACTTATTCCTAAAATGTTCACAAGCCAACTGCAACAAAGAACATCATCATCCCACACCAGAAAGGAAAAGCCCTTGCATTCCATTTCACCAACGAGACTTGACTGAACAATGCCACTACAAGCAATAGCAAAAGCTAACTCTACGATGCTTCATCTGCCAATCATGCATGCCATCTTGTAGGAACCTTGGAGTCGCTCTCTCCGGTGTTTCGGCGCGCACAGCACGCGACGAAGTAGACGAAAGACTAGTCGCAAACAAAAGCCAAGAGAAAAGAAAAGGTTGAGAAAAAATTAATGTCAAAAATAACACAAGATGGATTGGAAAATCTACCATTTATATGGTGAAAAAATGAGACATTATATGTGTTGTATTTGATGCTGTGGCTTACCAAGATGACAAACAGTATGACGTTAAAGATGGCTACCACCCTCCACTCTGTTTTCATGTATTGAGCAACCCCAGCTCTAGAATCAAACAATTCATATAAGCATTGGTTTCTTAAAATGGCTTTGATGTTTCCAAAATTCCAAGCTGGGAATTGGCAACCAGGGAGCTTACTTGCAAGAATCACAATCATAGCACAGAACAGAGCGTGCGTTTTTGTACAGTTTGCAGTCGACATTCGTGCTGACTGGATGATAGCTCAAATCAAAGTAGGAAGCGTTTACAGCTGGGTACCCGCACCTGACAATGTTCAGAGAAATTTGATAATTATGGCAAAATCCTGATGATGAACAGTTGCAAGTTTGCAATATACTGTGAGATGTTTAAAATGCGTACTCTGCCGGTGGACGGCAGCAACCAGACTCCATAGGAGTAAGATCTGCAAGCTTGTATTGTTTCAGAGTCTGCAGGGAGTAGAAGAGTACAGGTAAGATTGACATGGCAGAAATTGATGGAAATGGAGAAACTTTCGACTTTATAGTGAGCACATCAGTAGTAACTAGTAAGAATATGTGAGGAAGAGGGGGGACCTTGTATCTTCTTGACAAGCCATTACAATCATCTGATTTCACAAGACAGCTTCTCAGGTGAGTCCATTTTTCAGTGTCATTCAGCTGAGTATGAGAAAATGAACAAAATATTTAGAATATAAAACGTACTACTGCATGATAGGAAAATGAACAACTGAATTTTCCTGAGACAAAAATAGGACATGCCTGTTTGATAAACCAAGAGCTATAATCCTGCAGACGATACTCTTTGTATCTGCATAAACATGAGAAACGATTTACGACTTGTGTGGTGACATAAGCATGCTGCAGCAAAACTGTTTTTGACACCATTAAGTGTGCTTGCAAAGAATGATTAAACAAAACAGCATGTAAGATTCTTTGTGTTCTTCAGATATTGCAAGTGTTAGTTAATTTAGGATTGGAATTCTTTGTGCAAGTACTACTAACTGTCACATACCTCACCCCAGAGACAGAATGGCCAGTTCCGGTATTTGTGATAATAAACCTGCAACAGTACATGCCAGTATCTTTTTTCAGACAAAGAGTGCATGCCAATATAAGGTTATAAAAATGCAACCACTAGAAGAAGCTACCAAGTCCATTGATAATTAATCCCTAAATGGTGCGGTAGAATTCAATTCTATCACCTAATTGATGTACAAACCAGCAAATTTTAAATAAAAAGGTACTCCATGATTGTAACCAGGTTGGACTGAAAAAGGCCTTCTGCATCAAATGTGTTAACAAACTGAACTTACGCAAGCACTGTGAACACCATGATTGCCACCAAAACCACGAACAGCATTACCAGATACTAGACACCCACATGTCAAGGTAACAGCTAACTCCAAAAGTACAAGAAAAATAAAATAAAAAAATCATATGCATCAATTTCTTCAGAAATAAAAGGATACTGTCCATAGCAAGCAAGCAATTTTCTTCCAAGCACCAAGAAACCCCACGAGCGATCTGCAACATCAACACTGAGCCGGGTTAAGACGGCGCAAATCACCATGGTTCATCAGATTAACATCATGGGGACACACTTGGATTCTTACATGAGGAAAATTACTCCTCCAAGACCCATGACAGGGATCGTCAAGGACCGCCTGCATTCGTCGTTGTGGGTGCTCATCCAGAACCCGAACCCCACCACCAGTAGTGCCAGTATCTGCCAACCAAGAAGAGAATTTAAGAGTGTCATAAAATGCATTGATGCTGAAAGATGCAATGTTTCTTTCCGTATGGTCGTGGAGTATTTTGTGGAGCCTGGATATGTGCCAACATTAAACTGGAAACTGAGTGCTACTAGTATCCAAAAGAAGTGAAATTGATTAATTGAGAGTAGCCACTAAATGAAAGAAGAAGAAATTAGGAAGACAAGAAACTCAGAGCAAATGTGAAGGCAAAAAATGCAATAAAAGAATATTGTAATTTGGCATTTAGGAGAACCGAAAACTCAAAATCCATGTGTTGCATTGAATCAAACAGGCTGAATTCGGTGCAGGAAAGCTAAGCTTCACAAACAGAAACAGCCGAGGAACCCAACCAAACAACGAATCCTACAAATGCCGCGGCAGCAATATGAACTCATTTTCAGCAAATCAGCCGCCAGCCCAGAGAGGAAAGAAACCGTGAGGCGGCTCAAGCTCAACACAGCAAGCGGAGGAGGGGCAGCGAGCCGAAGGCAACTGAGCAGCAAGCGAGGAGTGGAAGGCGACTGACCATGGTGAAGAAGTTGATCCACCTGATGACGAAGGCGCTTGTGCTACTACCCATCCTCCTCCTCCTCCCAAACAATGGCGGCCCGCGGCCGCACACACTGGATCCTGGACAGACGAGATCTGCGGCCGCCTGCCGGCCACCGGAGACGAGCGGGACAGCGGCGGCGCCACCTGCCTCTCTCTCTCTCTCTCTCTCTCTGAAGCGTGGATTGATTCGCGAGCTTTTGGGTGGAGGAGAAGACAACGGCGGCAGTTAAGGTCGGCACGGGGGCAGAGGCGAGCGGACGACGACGAGGGGATGGAGAGGATGACGCGTGGGCCCGGGAGACTCGTGGGCCCACGGCGTCAGTGCCTCACCGTGGCGCCGGCTTCACGGAGGTGTGTGCTGGCGGCGAGCGTGAGTGACTGCGTGTGGTCCTATTCAATTTTGTTTTGTTGGGCTGGTTTGATTGTTTGAACGGTGGCCGCGGTTTGTATATGGAATGAAAACGGTCGGAGATTTTCATAAAAAGAGGATTACTAGAGCACGGGATTCTGATCCAACAGGATAACTTTATAAATCTAATCTTTCACTTTTAAAATTCTCCATGTTCGGACTTACAGACTCCTATGTTGTAAAAAAACAAAGCAGCGATACCCCTAGCTCTTTGCCCCCACCGGTCACAGCAACAACAGAGGAAGGAGGGAGATGTCAATGAGAGGAAGGGAGAAGAGAAGATGAGACAACGATAGGTGACTTGCCGGTCAGCCAGACGATGACAGCGTGCTCTTCTTGCTCACGCCTTGATCCGATACCTGATACCATAGGTATCAGACCCAATACCTAATACATAATACTATGCACCTCATACCTATGGGTAGTACTTGAGGTACCATACCCTAGTACTTGTCTGGTACCTGGGTACCAGGCATGACACCCAAGGTATCAGGTCCTGGAATCGACTCCTGGTACCTAAAGTATCGACTGTGATGTACTTGTACACAACATCGAGTAGTAGAAGTGATGGGCTGACAAGGAGCATGAAGAAACCCGAAGACCATCTTGTTGAAGTATCCACTTCATCAACTCCAAGGTCGCCATCTACTTCGAGACCAGCCACCTCCACCTTCCTGTTGATGCCCAGGATGTCGTCCCCCTTAGCCTCACTACCTTCCTTTCCTTCTGCTCACACATGACAACCCCCAACCTCACAGTCATAGCTGGCTCCCTCTTTGGCTATAACCCCCATGCCCTCGCCAATCTCCATTCTCTCACATGCTCTAAATCCAGTGTAGGAAGGGGGAAAAGAGGATAGGTGATGTCGTCGATGTTGGAGACAATGGTCAAGGAGTTGAGGAGAGGGAGGAGGAAGACGAAGCGTTGTTACTCGGTGGGGGAGAAAAATGGATCGGTGGGGGAAACAAATCTAGGAGAAACGTATATAGAAGATATGTAATGTTTACCCCTCTTTTATCTAGTGCCCTTGTGCCTCCAATGGGATTCCGTATATTAGTTTTTTTTTCATAATCATATCTTTTTTTCGAAAATAAAACTTAAAAGATGAAGTCGGAAACAAAAAAAACAGGAGATATCGTAAATAGACTGTACGAACGAAAACATGTCGGTATCGAGGAAGCTGACAATAAATCATACGTTTAACTTTGCATAATTATATAATACGATAAAATAAATTCAAGGTTATGCTATATAAATTATAAATTGTCTCTTTTTAACCTCATCCCAAGTTAGGGATTTTGGTTGAGAAGTTGATGGGTATCTAAACTACTGGTCAAATAAAGAAATAGACTATAAATATTACTTAGTGTATTTAGAAATATGGTAATTAAAAAGTTGAAAGTGGTAGGTATGCAGCAAAAATCATTTCCATTTTTGTTTTCGTCAGTAACCATTTCCACATTGCTCGTCAGGTAAAAATTGGAAACAGTCAATCGGGAATTTTCGTGCCCATTTTCACCCCTAGAAGTTGCCCTCTACCAACACAAAGCGACAAAACCATTTCCACATTGCTCGTCAGGTAAAAATTGGAAACAGTCAATCGGGAATTTTCGTGCCCATTTTCACCCCTAGAAGTTGCCCTCTACCAACACAAAGCGACAACGCACGAAGTGGCGCACAATGCTAAGTAGTTGCTCAACAATTATCGATAGGAAGAAGTTCACTTGAGATCCCTCATCTTGTCGTCGAGTTTCAAAATCATCCATGAACCAGAATACCAGATATGATATATACCAAATCTTACAAAACAGGGTCACATTAGGTCCCATGGCAGTATTGATGACGGTTTTAACCAATGTGGCGGCTGACTCAGGATGGAACCCATAAGTCAGTGGGCCAATCATAAAATTGTTTTCCCTTTCGTTATACTCCCTCAAAAATGCCATTTATATGAATGGTTGTTATGTTCATCAAAGTGTCATCATTGAAGGATCAAGTGTAGAGGACTGATCAGCTCTCATGCTGGTAGTGGACTAGTAGGACTTAACATCACTAACCAAAATGGTATTCAGATATACATACTGTAATGGCGGGATATACGGGGAAAAGTCAATTTTTAAGTCAAATGGAGAGACATTATATCTATTTTATATCTATTCATATGATCATGAAATTCTTTGTAAACAAAAACATATATCACTTGATATCTCGAATATGCAATACTGAATTCGATCTATATACAGGGTTTAACTTATTGTTTGGGATGGGTTATCACCTCCCGCGGTAAGGCGGTTACCGCGGTAACCGTGTGAATTCCATCTTCAAAAATTTGAATTCAAAATTTGTGCGGTTTCACAGTTTGGTCGTGGTAAGTGCACGGTTTACCGCGGTAACCGCGACATTAGCATGATAACCTTGACATGTATGGCAGAAAATGTGAAAAGAAAATGAAAAAAATGCTAAAAAAATGGAAAAACACTTAAATGCGTGTAGAAGTTGGGGATAATTAGAAAAATATATAGGATACTTGCAAACCTAACTTGTGGATATAAAATACAAAAATTCAGCATAAGCTTACCTTTTCTATATTATGGACTTCATAGCATGATAATTCAAGAGTACCGTAATACAAAGGAAGGCCCCCAACACTATGTTCTTTTTTCCATTCCCCATACCCTAAACTATTATCGGTTTTGCCCACAAATTTGATCCTCTATTACACTTGCACTTTCAACAAACTTCTTCACCATCTATCGTTAATACATCCATGATTTTTTTTCCATTTTTTTGGAATTTTTTAATTTGCTCAAAATCCACCAAGCACTACCGCTTACCCCCGCTGTAAGAGAAACCCTGTCTACATGTATCACAATAGAAACACAAAATATTTCGTTTATCTCAGTTCTAGGAAAAAAGGAACATGTGATATCTCGAATTTTCGGTAAGTAGGCAAAGTTAATGTCTATGTAACAGATTATATATTGCAGCTTGTAATAAGCTTGTAATGGGTCAAACAGAAGTAGGTGTAAAACATCACAAATAGCAAGGATACATATTACGAAACGAGGGTAAATTAAAGAAAGTTAACAGTCTACACCAAGGATAATAGAAATTGACACGAGGAATACAGTGAGGGAAATACTTCTACTAGTCCAATCCAAACATGAGAAGAAAAGGGAAAAAGGAAAGGAAAATTAAGGAACCACAGTGACGGTAACAGACTCAAGCAGCAGTATCCTAATATAACACAACCAAAACTGTCGCTAGCAAATGAATATAAAGCAAATATTGAGCAGATACAAGGAGCAAGAAAAAGGTTCAGTTTGGCCGCAGCCCTGGGTCTTCAAGCAGCGTCTTCAAGCAGCCAAAAATGCAAGTCCACAGTTAACATGATTAGTATCAGTGCCGACAGAAAACACTTCCTCACTAATGGAATATAAGCTTAGATGTGTCATCAAGGCACCAAATAAAACCCTGGGTATACAAAAGAACTTCAATTATTACCTGAAACAATATGTCATGTTGTTTGAAAGAGTGGCAGCTAAGAAATTCACTGCTTACCTGATGAGGTGCTATGTACATCTGATGTACTTGCCTAACAATAAGTAAATGATAAAAACACCGTTACAATGTTACATTGATCATTGACAATACACTGCCAGATCGATTTGTGGGGGTATCGTTTTTATTTCTGTCCCAAGTTCTTGCTCAATCCGATACCTATAAAGGAAGATGAACAGGTCAGAATCTTGGTACAAGAGTAAACAACAGGATCTACTCTGGCAAAGCATCCTTACAAGTTGAAACGGTCCTCATAAGTGATTAAGTTCACCGCCAAACCAAGGTGTCCAAATCTCCCTGAACGACCAACCTAAGGAAAAAATAATACAGAGCTTTTAGAAGTAACAAAATATAAAAAACCACCAGGTTTATTAGTTCAGACCACACAAAGCAGCAAAATGAAAGGGCACAGTGAACCAACCATTGAGCCAAATTAATAAAATATTAATGTTAATCAAGATCATGCAGGTAAACATAATCAAACACATGTTCCAAATGTTATATTACCTACAAGCAAGGTTGTCAATATCCCGATTCATATCCACCTTATGATACTACGATCCTACCAAGTCGAAACGATACCGATCCCACCAAATATCCTAAATTTCATAGTATCTCGATCTTACTATTCATTTCCACACGATCCTACGAAATCTTATGTAGTATCCCGATTCAATGATCCCTACAATCCTACAAAATATTATTTTAAAAAAGGTGGATATCAATAATGTGAATAAATATCTCAAGTTTATATGAAAACCAATTAGATTTATCAAAATCAATATTATATACTTTAATTTATACAACATATTACATATTTTATATAAAAATATGTATTTTCTAAAATCTGATAGTATCCTGATCCTATGGTACTACAAATAAAAAACGATCCTACCTAGTATCTCGATACTAAATACCTTGCCTACAAGTGTACATGAAGATCCAACTTACAGTAACAAAAGCAAACTGCACAATGGTAAATCACCATCACTCATGCAAGATGCAACCCTAGATTTGATTTTTGTGTTGAAGTTCTTATTTGTGAACAAGCAAAACCCATAAGTATAGCAAATCTGAATGAGAATTGGCATTCAAGCATTCAGCTTAGAACGATCAAGCATTCAACCCATATATATATTGATAGCTTTACATGATTACAGATTATAGGAAAATATTTTCTTTTGGAACGGGAGGAAACAACTTACCCTATGCAAGTATGTTTCAGAAGTCTTAGGGAAGTCAAAATTAATGACAACATTCACAGCTTGGATGTCAATTCCTCTTGTAAACAGATCTGCAAAGACATGTCACATTAATTAATCGTTTATATGTAATAAAAGAAGTCAACCTGATAGGTGCACACACAAAAGGAGATACACTTACCACACACATCAAGAATCATGGCTTGAAACAATTACAATACATCTAGATCCAAACATTATTTCAATAGTAGTACAAAAAAAAGTAGACATGGAAGGTCAAGTGAAAAAAAATGCTCTAGACATCATGCCAAACAAGTTATTTTCTAGTGCATTAACTATTAGTGGAACATTCGAACTACGAGCATTCTAGAGTCTAGACATAGCCTGGGGGGTACCTAGTCTTATGAGCACAGAACAGTGGGCATGCTTTGGCAGCTCATGTATCATGTGTAGTAAATTCCATGCTCCGGAAGCTACTTCTGAGCCTATTTTATGATGTAAGAGCATGCAAAAGCAGCAAAAGCCTTCGTGTAACTAATAAACTAGCCAAAGAATTCTGAAAATTATTTACTCAGAAATCAGAGGTCAAATCTCATGCTTGAGAAGTCAAAATACAACGATGGTACAATACATTATTCAACAAATAAGGATATCAGAAGATAACGTAAAACAAGATTTTTGTAACACAGCATATGCTACAGAACACTAGCTGAAATAGCAGAAAATATTCAAGGCAAAAGGTAGAGAACCTGTGCACACAAGGTTTCTGCAAGCACCATTGCGAAAATCATGAAACACTCGGTTTCGATGGTCTTGCAACATTTTTGCATGAATGTAGAAGCATGAATAGCCAAGCTCGGTGATTTTCTTAGCCAGTAGCTCAACTCTGTTAACAGAGTTACAGAATATAATGGACTGGTTTATTTGAAGCTGACCAAAACAAAGAAGGGAAATTATGTCAATTTATGCTTAAAGATGGACAAGACAGAAAAAATAGGATTTCTGGTGAGCTGTACCTTCGAGAAAAGTGTATTCAGACAGTGAACTTTCTGTCTTTCTTCCACGAAAGCATAGTATTGTGTAATTCCCTTTAGTGTTAGTTCATCCATGAGATTAATAACATAAGGCCTAGGTAGGTATTTCTCTTTGAAATCCTTAACGGTTACTGGAAAGGTTGCTGAAAACATCAATAGTTGACGATTAGCTGGAAGGAAATGGATGAGTTGCTCTATGGAAGGCTGAAACTCTGGAGCTAACAGTTTGTCTGCCTGCAGATCATAAAAAAATTGAAAAATTATAACATAGTTGTGATTGAAACATATATAAATTAACAAAAGCATGACCCTAATTGAGTGCTACTCATGATACCTCATCCATTACGAGCATTGAACAATCCTTCAGCACACAGATGCCCTTCCTAGTTAGATCTAGTATCCGACCAGGTGTCCCAACAAGTAAATGAACAGGTTGATACAAACGCATAATGTCATCCTTTAAGCTGGTTCCACCAGTACTAACCATAACTTGAATATTCAGATACTTCCCAAGCTCTTTACAAACTTGTGAGGTCTGCAGAGCTAGTTCCCGTGTTGGTACCAATATAACAACTGCAGATAAAATCCACAGATCCAACAGAGTCATAAACAGTATGTATTGTTTGTAAACATGAAAGACAAAAGATTCCTCACCAAAAGAAGGGAACGGCAATAGCTGGGGAACCAAAAGAGTAGGAAACGATAAATTAAATAAAAGGTGGGTATAAAACTAGCACCACAGAAACATTGCCCTTTTAAAAGTTTCATATAGCCAATTGAAATCTTACATTAATAGCTGGGGTAGCCAGCTTTACAAGGGAATCTCAAGAGAAAGCTCAGTGAGAATAGACACCCTGAAATACCAGCACCCCATAAAAAGGCAAAAGAAGTGATCAGCTAAGAAAATGCCTGTTGCATTGTTCATAATTTTTGTCTGTCAATACGGTAGATAATGCTAAAGAGCAAATAGTTTGCTAAGACACAATCATAAGTTCTCGTACAAAAGACTGTCAGACAATTTGCATGCCAATAATTCCCTCTAAGTATAGTATACAAAAAGTGCACTGAATTTTTGAAGTTCATATGGATCTAGCATACACAACTAAGATACTACCCATAATTAATGAATTTCTGAATTTGAGATGCATCAACATGAATGCCGGAAAGAACAGTGCAGTTTAAAATGTTGGGAGCAGCAATCAAGAAAATATTAATGTTATGGTTCCTTATAAATAAGAATACAAGAGTGAAGAGCTCACCTTGTATGGCATTTTTCTCTGGATCAATTTTTTCAAGTGCGGGAATGCAAAATGCGGCAGTCTTGCCAGTGCCGTTTTTAGCTCTTGCAAGAATATCGCTACCAGTCAGAGCTATTGGAATGCTTTCTTCCTGAATAGGTGATGGCCTTTCGAATCCTTTCTCATATATTCCCATTAGTAGTTCACGTTTCAAAAAGTAATCCTCAAACTCGTTGCCTTTCGTTGCAGTGACATCCTGCATAAAAACATATGTTGCAGAACACAGCATCAGCACCACATAACACTAGCAAATGGTTACCATTCAAATATTCCATCCAACATTTGCTCAAACCAACGAAGTAAATGATGATGTATAGTAGAAACAATACTACAAATACACAGCAGAATTTCACCTCTGTCCTATAACGTGTATCTGGAGCTGGCAAATTCAATTGTGCCTTCCAATCTTCAGAGCTGAAAGAGCCCAAAAAAAATAATGATCAATGAAGTTATTAAAGATGCCACAAGAATGACTTCGATGCAACATTTCCTATTTCAAACCCCACAGCAAGGAAATATAAAACACCCGAATAAATTAATAATGCAATAAAATGGCAAGATGGCGTGTTTTCTGGGTTCTGAAAAGAAAAAAAATGCAGGGGCAAGCAAGCAGGAGTCCTGCAAGCACAGAAGCTAGTGAAACATGAATATTACAAACAAGTAGAGACAAACCCTCTATTGCCATATAAATAGCTTAAACAGAACACTGTTAATAGCTGAATAATATGCGCACAATCCAAACCCCCCAAATTACATCCAATCCATGCGATCAACTCGTACGCCTCAATCTCGCCATCCTACACTCCCAAACGCAGTATACGCTCTGCTTTCTTCTAACAACAAAACACAAACCCTAGCAGCTGGCAGGCACCAAAGCAGCGTTACCGGAAAACCGCGTAAAAAATCCACATACCTCGAGTCGACGGCTTCCAGCTGCGCCGCCGTCCTCGCCGCGACCTCCCCGGACGCAGCCGCCGCCGTGGCCTGGTCCCGCCGCAGCCACTGCTGCTGCTGCGAGGAGCTGTTCCTCTGCGCGTGCTGCTGCTGCTGCTGATGCTGATGCAGCTGCTGCGCCTGGTGGTGGTAGTGCTGCTGCTGCGGCTGCGGCTGCGGACCCCGGCCGTAGTAGCCGTGGTTCCCGCCGCCGCCGCCGCCACCTCCTCCAAATCCGCCGCCGCCATTACCACGGCCGCCTCCTCCTCCGCCTCCGCCTCCGCCGCCGCCGCCGGAGGTGTAGCCGGGCGGGTAGCGCGCCCTGGGGTGGTGCATGGCGGGGATCTAGGGTTTGGGGGAGCGACGAGGCGGAGCGGAGAGAGATCTAGGGTTTCGCCGGTTTGGGTTTCCCCCCGCTTTGGGTGGTGCGGTGCGGGTGGCGTGGGCTTTGGAGGTGGATCAGGAGGAAGTCGGAATCGGGAGAGAGAGGGGCTGATATTTTTGAATGGGAGGGGTTGTGTTTGGCTTTGGCCTTCCTGGTTCTGGTACACGCCCTGCACGAGCGCACGTGTTACTCGCTTACTGTTCCCGAAAAAAAAATTTGGGTGTCACATTGGATATTTTTGTGTGAGAAGGGTTTTTCGGACACGAATCTACTACTCTACTATCTACTACTACTTAAAAAATAAGAGGTGCTTCCATCGTCCGTCAAAAAAACCGGGTGAAAAAAACCGGGCAGAAAAAACCAAGTTTGTCTGATAAAAAAACCGGACGAAAAAAAAAGTCCGATCCAAAAAAAAAGTGAAAAAAAAAAACCGGGCGAAAAAAACACCCGTCCCTGGCAAAAAAACACCCGATCCCTTAAAAAGGGAAAAAAAAAGTCCGAGAGACAAACCGTTTAATGAATAAAAAAAGCGAAAAAAAAAGAGTCCGATTCCCTGGAGAAAAAAAATCTGATTTCCCTGGAAGAGATCCGATCTGTATTGGATTGGAGAAAAGAAAAAAAACACTTCTCTAGGTGCTTCTGTCGTCCGTCAAAAAACGAGAGAAAAAAACCGAGCGAAAAAAAAAGAAAAGTCCGATAAAAAAACCTGGCGAAAAAAAACCGGGCGGAAAAAAAACAAATATGTCCGACAAAAAAAAAAGGAAAAAATACCGAAACGAATCCGACTACATCGACGCGGTAAAAAGAGTTTAAAAAAATAAAAAGAAAACTGTCCTATTCCAAAGAAAAATGAATTATATGTATCGTGGAGCAAAAAAAAAAAAGAAAAGTCCGATAAAAAAACCTGGGCGGAAAAAAACCGGGTGGAAAAAAAACAAATCTGTCTGACAAAAAAGAAAGCAAAAAAAGGAAAAAAATCGAAACGAATCCGACTACATCGACGCGGTAAAAAGAGTTTAAAAAAATAAAAAGAAAACTGTCCTATTCCAAAGAAAAAGGAATTATATATATCGTGGTAAAAAAATCGACCAGGCGAAAAAAGAAAAAAATAGTCTGATCCGAAAAAAACAGGAGAAAAAAAAATGGGCGAAAAAAAAATTTGTACGATAAAAGAAAAGGAAAAAGCTGAAAAGAATCTGACTCCATCGACGCGGTAAAAAAAGGCGAAAAAAAACTTTCCGATAAAGAAAAAGGAATTATATGTGACGCGGTAAAAAAAATAAAAAAACCAGGCGAAAAAAAAGATAAAAGTCCGATAAAAAAACGGGGCGAAAAAAAAACAAATCTGTCCTATCAAAAAAAGCCAAAAAGGGGAAAAATCAAAACGAATCCGACTCCGTCGACGTGGTGAAAACAGGGCGAAAAAATTCCAAAGTAAAGGGAGAAAAAAAATCAAAACGAATCCGACTCCGTCGACGCGGTAAAAAAAGGGCGAAAAAAATCCAAAGTAAAAGGAATTATATGTGACGCGGTAAAAAAAATCGATCGGGCGAAATAAACCGGGCAAAAAAAAATCTGTCCGATCCAAAAAAAAAGGGGAAAGAATCAAAACGATTCCGACTCCGTTGACGCGATAAAAAAGGGCGAAAAAATTGTCTGTTTCTAAAGAAAAAGGAATTATACGTGATGCGGTAAAAAAAATCGAATCCTATTATATCTAGAAAGGTTTGACACTATGTGAAAGTGGTGAAAAAAACCCTTCGTAAAAGAAATGCACGAGAAAAAAAATTAAAAGGACGGAAAAAAGCGCGGAGGAAAAAAGTCAAATTTATATTCGTCGTTTTTTAGTCCATTTATATATCTTCTTTATCTCTAATCTAATCTAATCTAACTATAAAAAGAGAAGTTTCTACAGTATATTAAAAAAGGAAAAAATGCGCGAGAAAATAAAAACGGTTTAAAAAAACACGTGAGGGAAAAATGTCAGAAAAAAGCACAAAAGAAAACGCGCTAGAAAATAAAGTTTCGTAGTTCTAATTTTCTGATTGTTATCGACATGGTTATGCATGAAAAACGTATATTATCATTACGTTTTTTCACCCGTTGCAACGCACGGGCATATTTGCTAGTGAAAATAATAATTTCATAACTCGCCTGGAATGCACTAGACGAATATTTTGAGTCTAATTAATCTGTCGTTAGCACATATGGATTATTGTAGCACTTAGGCTAATCATGGACTAATTAGGCTCAAAAGATTCGTCTCGCGATTTCCCCCTAACTGTGCAATTAGTTTTTTCATTTATCTATATTTAATGCTTCACGCATGTGTCCAAAGATTCAATGTGATGTTTTTGAGAAAAAAAATTTGGAACTAAACGGGGCCTACACCGTTAAGTACCCTCGAACATCTCAAAATAAAATATAATCTTAACCTATACTTTTATATATTTATGCTACATTTTTAAATAAGATGAATAGCCAAACGTTATGTGAAAAGTTAACGGTGTGATACATTTTAAAACAGAGAGAATATATGGTGAGTGAGTTGATAAAATGTACTGATTGTATAGGAAGTAGTTTGTTTCTAGACCTTTATAATTAAATTTATCTAGTTATATTTAAAGGTCGTATATTGAATTTTGATCGCTTTTTCATGTTGGCACCCTAACACGAGTTGAAAACCAATAGGAAACGAATATGAAAGGGCTTTATTTCGTAACTTAAGAAGAAGCACCTCAAGTTTGTGATGTCTTTGCGTGCATATAACTTGTCTGTGTGTTCCGTAATACTACCTCTATATTTTGATGTATGACGCTGTTGACTTTTTATCTATCGTTTGACCATTTGTCTTATTTAAAAAATTTATTTAATTATCATTTATTTTATTGTGACTTGATTTATCATCAAATGTTTTTAAGCATAACATAAATATTTTTATATTTGCACAAAAATTTTGAATAAAACGAATGGTCAAACATTGGTTAAAAAGTCAACGGTGTCATACATTGAAATATGGAGGAGTAGTAGCTAAACATGTGAAACACAACTAGTATTGGACCTCTCTAGCTAATCATTTCACTTAAAAGTAATAACTCATTAAAACACGACAATACGTAACAGCACCAACATTTTAATAATGTCAAATGGGTAAGCCTCTTATACATGAGTACTAGCCAAGTACCACAGGCACAAAAATGTTACAATTTCACCGCCGAATCCGAATAAAGACCCCAAAACATCATGTCTGTACATAATAAATGTTCCCTTTTTCACATGAGACTGCAATAGCTGCCCTGTACATGAAATTAAACGAAAACAAACAACTGAGAAAATACATCCAACCACTAGCTATCTGAACTTGACACCGGTACACTCACACTGTCGCACACACATTTACAACAACGACGACGACGACGACGATCAATGGAGATGACCGAGAAGAGATTCAACCGAAGAGCAACTTCTTGGGCGGCTCTCCCTTGGCGCGGTACTTTGCTGCGGCCTCCTCGGCCTTCACCACCTCCTCCCCTCGCCGCGCCTCCGTCGCCGCTCGCTTCTCCTCCGCCGCCCTGTGCACCTTCGCCACGCCGTTCATCAACTTCTCCACCTGCTCCGCCTTCTTCCTCTCCAGGTACTCCTGCATATATATGAACCGATCGATCAACTCAATGATTCACACACACATAATTGATCTCTCCTTGTTCTGCTTGTTGATGAACTTAGCTGAGCTGAACTTACTTGGTACTTCTTAATCTCGGCCTCGATCTCGGCCACCTTGGAGTTCTCCCATGAGGCGATGTCGGCCAACTTCTTGGCCGCCCTGTGCGCGAAAGTTTCAGTTAACCGAGGGCTCATTTGGAATGCAGGAATTTTATATCTTTCGACCTAGTTTGAATTTATTTTCTATATAAAATGTTTTTATAAAGCACATTATTTAATAGTTTAAAAAACGTGCTAATGAAAAGCGAGCACGGTTCAAAGTTGAAGAAAATAACTCAGCCTTGGCAAGAAGTGAGAGAAGAGCTACTATTAGTATTACTGACTTGTTGTCGGCCTTGGCCTTTTCGTTCTCCTCCCACGCCTTGATCAGCGATATCCTCTTCTCCGTGGCGACCGTCGTCAGGAGAGCGTCTGATGAACACGAGAGAGGAATGGTTTGTGTGTGTATCAGATCGAGAATTCGAGAGGCTGTGTGCAGCTTCTTGATCTCAGGCAATTGTAGAGGATGGAGAATCACTATTATTACCTCTTTCGTGTGAGCCACCTGTTGCTGCAGCTTTCTCAGCATCTGGCAAAAAAAAAAGGGAACAATTTTGATATTTTGGATGAATTTTGTCCTAGAAGTTTTCCTGACTATATGTCACATCTCCTTGTGTAAACATGAAACATTCAGAGGGTAGCATTCAAAAACAAGAAGAAAAGATTCAGACTTCATAGTGCTATCTGGTTCATATTAACAGATTCAAATTAACTGGTAGTTGCAGAGATGTTGGTGCTAATTAGTTTCTTCATATATTATACACTCTGGTGAAATATGTTCATCATGTTTCTTTCTGAAGAAATTAACAAGAGATTTCACAAGTTGCACCTGGAATAGCTCAGAGCAACAAAAACATGTTCTCTGCTTGGTGGATTATTACAGCAACAAAACTAGTAATAAGCAAGGTTGTCAATGGAAAACATGGTTTTCATGGTGACCTTACTTACCATCGACGACGGTCATGGCCTTCGACTCCTCCGGCGCCGGCACGGCGGCCCTCTCCTCGGCGATGTCCTTGGTCGGCTCCGGCGCCGGCGCCGGCGGCGCCACCTCCGCCATCTCCAACAACTCAGCCAAAGAAGCTATCTGCACGAGTTCTCTGACGACGTAGCAAATATATCAAGGAACAAATGAGAGAAGCACACGAACTGCTTCTACTTCTTGTTCTTCTTTGTTTTTTAACAGGAGCTGGCTGGATGGCGACTGATTAGCCCAGGTTGGTTGGGAGAAGATGGCATGGCAGCAGAAGCAAGCAACCAGGTGAAATCGGATTGGATTGTCAGTGATAAGGATTCAAGGAAATTCTTTTTCTTTTCGACTGGCCTTTGTTGTTTTTTTTAGCTGAATCTATGGTCAGTTTGGCGTGCCAACTGACAATTCTATCCATGCATCGCTTTCTGTATCCATGGGTTTTTTTGGTTTATGAAGATTTAGTTCGTATGTTGTATGCTGGTGCAGATTCTGGCCAGAGAAACAAGATACCATACCAATGGCTGTGCAGAGGGGTTCGTATATCCACTGAAAAAAAATGCAGATTTCTAAAGATTCTTGGACTTTAAAACTTATGAAATAGGGGAGGCCTGTGTTCGTTTTTGAGTGATGGGAGGAATTAGTTGACAGGCTGCATTTGAATCTTATAAAGATTCATACTAAATACGGACATGCAAAACAAGAAAGTTATTAGGGTATGTTTAATTGAGTTTTAATTATTATAAATTTAAGATATTTTGAAGCAACTTTCATATAGAAAGTTTTCGCACAAAACACGTCGTTTATTAGCTTGAAAAGCTTGCTAACGGAAACTTCATCTTCATTGTGTGATTTGATTGTTCTGATTAGGTATCCATTTCATTCACACCTCGTAAAAAAAAGATTGAATTTAATCTTGCAATCTCATAACCTAGTATTTCTTGAGAAATGCAAATTTCCACATTAGTCCTATCTTTTCGCCTGCTTTTGTGTCACCAAGCAAATGGGTGCCGTGCCGTGTGCACTTAAATTTTGATGAATCAGTGAAAGCTACTTCTCTTCCAGTACAATGCACACAGGTGACACGGCCTGAATCCCTGAAACAATCTACTGGCATAACCCAATTACAGCCTTCATCTTCAGGATTACATGTGTCGACTGTCCAATACCTCTCATTTTCTTCTCATTTATCCCTGCTACCGTACCCATTTTTGCACAAAAAATCATCACAAAAAAAATCTTTTTTCCTTCCTAATTAATCGATTTCACCGTACACGATTTTACACTTCAAATCACCAGAAAAAGATACTCTTTTTTTCCTTCCTTATTAATCGATCTTATCTAGGATTTGATCGAATGACATCACCCGTTTGAATTTACGAGCATAATTGTGCAACGCGAGAGATGATTTGTGCCTTTTGTGCCTAATAAGCTAGGAGTAGTTAAGGTCCCGGGAAAACTTAAAGATCACGAAATGGTTTCACCTTTTTTCTCACCGAGAAGCTCATCCACGAGAGCGACATCGGCCAGCGAGTTCGAGCTGGGAGGATGGTTTCGTCAGACCCGACGGGCGAAGGCGTCGCTTGCTTAAATCCAGTTAGGTTCAATTCCTCACATTTTATGAACCTATATTAGGTTGTGTTTAGTTCCACATTAAAATTGGAAGTTTAAAGAAATTGAAATGATGTGACGGAAAAGTTGAAAGTTTATGTGTACTAGGAAAGTTCGATGTGACGGAAAAGTTAGAAGTTTGAAGAAAAAAATTGAAATCTAAACATGGCCTTATACATGATTTTTACATGATTAACCTGTCCACATTCAACACCAGCAATAACCAACAGCATTTAATCAACAAATTGAGACAGAAACGACATGCATTTCTGAAGTTAATTATGTGGTTAAATCCTTGGTTATTCTCTTGTTCCATATGAGTTGACAGCCTGACAGTGAGTTCGGTTGTTATGGTTTCTCATTGCCTGGTCCTACTGTCATGTCTGGCATGTCAACAATGGCTCATCAGTCTTAAACTCTTTATATGTGATTTTTTTTTCCTTCTGTTAGGTGAGCAGTCGGGATGCTAGTGTGCAATGGAACCCAACTTGATTTCATCACTGCAAATTATGTATCAAGTTATTTTCAGTTTTCTAGTTGGTCTGTTAATCTGGGTTGCTGTTGCATCATGATAATTTCATTGGAGTTGTTGTGCAGTAGACAGAGAGGAGGAAGAGTACCTGACCAAACTCAATTCACAAAATCGATCCTCATCATCCAAAACATGCCTGGCTATTTGGCTAATTACGTCACCGTTTCACAATTCACATACACACGATCAGGAATTAAACATGTTCTTCCTGTAGGCTTAAAAACGAAACTAATGACTGCGACTCCTGATACTGATACATCCATGATCTCTGATCACCTGTCACATAATTTTTTTTTTCAGAACCAATATTTTGTCAATAAAGTGAATCAGTCTACTAGTATCTTTTTCTGAAGATTCTGAGTGGAGGAGACAAGCTTCTAACCTTTTCTGACTTTTTTAGCACTAGTACGAAGTTGCAGCTGTCAAGAACGGCAATGTATTCACAGGTAGATAACCCATATGTAAGTGGGAAAATATGTCGTGTAAACTCTATATATAGTGTAAACTTATCTACTCCCTCCGTTCTAGGTTATAAGACGTTTTGACTTTGGCCAAATTTGTAGAAAAAAAACAGTAACATTTTCTACCCAAAACAAATTTATTATGAAATATATTCAATTATTGATTTGCTATATTTGTCTATAAATTTAATCAAATTTAAAATAGTTTAACTTTGACTAAAGTCAAAATGTCTTATAACCTGAAACGGAGGAAGTAATATTTATGCACGTCTCAGATTATCTGCCTTTCCAGAACAAATATTTTGTCAATAAAGTGAATTAGTCTAGTACTAAGATCTTTAATCTTTTATGAAGATTCTGTCTGTGTGAAGGAGACAAATCTCTACCCTTTTCTGACTTTTCTTGTGCACTTGTATGAAGTTGGAGCCGTCAAGAACGGCCATGTATTCGTAGGTAGGTAGCCCATTGTTAGCTATAGGCAGTCTAGAACTGTTAGCTGGGAGTGGCTTGCTTGCTTAAGTGATTCGATGACAGTATGACCAATTCTGATTAGACAATTGGAGATCTCGCAATACTCTGATGCTGTGTCGCCATTCTCCTGTGCAAACCGTGGAGAAAATCTATGGCTGGCTGCATTTTGCAAGGGGAGGATGGCCCAAAGCAGATTCAGGTGAGAATATAATTAATGATCTAATTGATCATGATCTGCTTTCTGCTTGAGCCCAAACTGTTAAACCAGCAAAGCTCAGACATTGGGCTGACACAAAACCATCAGCTGCATCATCAGTATCTGCATGTGCTTAATAAAATTGCATGTGAGATCATTGCGAGTAACAGAAGAAATTTTGACTCGATGTACTGATGACTGCTGATACGTGCCAGAATCAGGCAGTCAACTCGGGTCTTTTCCTTGATTCGATTCGTTTCGTCCATTTTCGTTGCTTAATCGTGGCGAATAAGCAGTGGTCACATGCGGCACAGCTAGCTTAACAAAGGTGCTTAGACACCGGGTTTTAGGCAGGATTTCACACTGATTTTTTTGGCTTTTCTGCTGGTGCTGTTGCTAGCTGCTCCTCCAAGCGCGTTGTAACTGAAGAAGCCCATGGTTTTTCTTATGGTTCTGAAATTCCCCTTCACAAAATTCGTCAAATGGTTCTTTAAAATGACGAAGCAAACAAAAATAATTTAAGGGTAAAAAAAATGTGTGTGTTATATTAGCAGTTTAAAAACAAATGCTAGAAAATATACTACGATGAAAAAAAATACCCTAAAATCAACTTCAAAATTGAGTTTTACAAAATTAAAATTTTGGATGTGCAGGGTAAGCTAATAAGCAAGCGTTGATAGACGTATCTAGTACAAATGATAGTTATAGTGTACTATGAACAGTTTCTGAAAAGTTTAATTTACTCTGTCATAAAAGTACATAATCTATTTTCTCTACAGAGAACTTCAGAATAGTATGACTATGAACAGTTTCTGAAAAGTTTACTCCGATACAGAGAGTGAAAAGTCAATTTTCTCTACATAGGATTTTAGAGTACAGTAGCAGCAGTACAAGATTGTGCCTATTGTCGTATTCAGTGAAAACGTAGGCTGTGTTTAGTTCAGCGCAAAGTTTAAATTTTGGTTAAAATTAAAAATGATGTGACTAAAAAGTTGTGTGTGTATGACATATTGATGTGATGGAAAAAAACTAAAGTTTGGACCCAAACTTTGAATCTAAACACAGCCATAGTGTTACTTGACAAATGAAGCAAAGCTTGAATTATGTAACTGCACGAGAAGTCCACAGTACTGGCAGTAGGCCCCACCCCACTGTGACAGTATGAACAGTTTCCGAAAAGTTTACTCTCATATAGAGAGATTACGGTTGTGTTTAGTTCACATCAAAATTGGAATTTTGGTTAAAATTGGAACGATACGACGGAAAAGTTAAAAATTTGTGTATAGAAAAGTTTTGATGGAATGAAAACGTTGAAATTTTGAAGAAAAAAATTTGCAACTAAACACGGCCTACATATGAGTATATGACTCCAGAACAGTAGCAGTACTAGCAAAAGACTGTATGTCTGTATCACTGTTAAGTCAAACAACTTGGACAGATGAAGTAAATCTTGATTAATGTAATTGTACGAGAAGGCCATACGACTGACTGTGGGCCGGAAAGATATAAACATGTGCCAAGTCAAAATTCAATCTATATGCTGAGGATTAGTGAGGAAAAGATACAAATCCAATTGTTTCTGCTTCTACTATTAAAACTAGGAAAAAGTACGAATTACCCCCTGAATTATCGTGGTCGTCCGAATTACCCCCTGAACCTCAAAACCGGACATTCTTCACCCCCAACTATGTAAACCGGACGAATTACCCCCCTCGACCCAATCCGCGGTAGTTTTGGTCTACGTGGCGTACACGTGGCAGTCGTGTTAGACTCTACTTTCTCTCTTCCTCTATCTCTCTTTCTCTCTTCGTCGGTCAGCGGCAGCGGCGCGCACGCCGGCGGCCGGCACGCATGGCGCGGTGCAGGGAAGGGCGATGGGCAGCGACGCGGGGATGGGCTGGCGGTCGACACGCACACGACTCACGGGGAGGTGGAGGGGATGGGGGAGAGGCGGGCGCCGCGGCCATGGCGGAGAGGCGAGCCATGGCCGGAAGCGTCGGGAGGAGGACGGGGGACGGCGGATGGAGGCGCGCGTCGGGAGGAGGACGGGGAGGAGGAGCAAGAGAGACGTAAGAGGGAGGCAGCGGCGGCGGAGGAGGAGGAGGCTGTTCCCGCGGCGCCACCATTGTTGGCATGGTGGAGCAGCTGCGTGGGCGACGTGGACACCACCATCACCAAGGAGGCGGGGACTGGGAACGGCGCGGCGCGGCGTGGTTGACACCGTGGCGGGCGTGGCGCTCGTTGATGGCGACGGCGCGTACGCGGAGGGCGGCAATCTCACCGGCGAGGCAGCGGTGCGGGAAGAGCGTGGCGAGCAGGTGGTGGTAAGTTCGGCATGCATTTCTTTTTTGTGAGATTTGGTTATTTTCTCAATCGTGGTCTGATACTAACACTAACGAATTCCTTTCCTTTTGTCAGTTCCCCATAAAGATGACGACGCTCTTGCGCCTGGAGAAGGAGACCGGGGAGCAGCAAACGTAGGTGGTCTCTACGAGCTGTATGTGACGTTACCGCCATGCGGAGGAGGAGGAGGGGGCTCGAGAGGGCCTTTTTCTTCATATGCTGTAGCTGGACAAGCGGTATTGGTCGATGCAGTCCTCCGAGTCGTAGGTGAGCTCGTGGAGCTGCTTCATCCACTCTAGGACGAAGTGGTCCACGGCGCCGTCGTCGGCCTCGGACTGCACGCGGTGGAGGGCGTTCATGGTGGCCAGGTCGTCGCGCAGCTCGGCGACCTCGCTGCCGACACCGCTGAGCTGCTGGTATTCCTCGGTCAACAACTGACCAACGTTGCTTACGAGGTTCTAAGCCGCGTTCTCCATGCTTCGATCTCTCTAGCTTGGTTGGCTGGAAGCTAGTTTGGTGGCCGTGGCGGAGACGCGGATGATGGCCGGAGGTGGCGGCGAGACGGGATTGTGGCGAAGAGGCAGGTGGCAAGGCGCGCCGACCCAGCTCCGGCCACGAGCGCCGCCGTCTGCGCCAACTGCCACCGGAGCCGGCCGAGCTCGTCGACCTGCCGCCGCCACCCACCACCCGCCCCCGCGCGGCGCCGTGTGCGCCGACTGCCCTGAGCCCGACGGCCCAAGAGAGAGGGGGGGGGGGAGAGAGACATGAGATAGATAGAGTATATATATGACAGGTGGGCCCCACAATAAAATGCTGACGGGATTCCCACATGTACGTCACGTAGACCAAAACCACCGCGGATTGGGTTGAGGGGGGTAATTTGTCCGGTTTGCATAGTTAGGGGTGAAAAATATCCGGTTTTGTGGTTCTGGGGGTAATTTGAACGACCGCGATAGTTGGGGGGGTAATTCGTACTTTTTCCTTAAAACTACTATATTTCTCATGTAATTTTACGTGAAACCAGATTTATAAGCAGAGTTGAATTTAATGTATATAACCCTTGCTTTGTTTTTCATAAATGCAAGTAGGGGATTTTTTTGTGCGGTCTAGTTAAACAAGATTTGATATATATATATATATAGAACTCTCAGCTCTTATTTTATACATACAAATATATTTTGCATACAGTAAATTATAAAGTAGGATTGGATTTCATATATAACTCTTATCTTATGATACAAAGCACATAATTTTATCGTCCCCCACAATCTAATAGCATATATTTTTTTCTCTCTAATTAATGTAGTAACTTATACGCAGGGGCGGAGTCAGAAAATCTCCAAGAGTAAGACTCAACTTGCTTATACACCTTGTATTTTCAAAATTCACTAAGGTTTGATAGATTTTAGTAGGAGTTTAGGAGATAAGCCTCCGTCATTGCTTATACGTCTCTACAACGAAGGTGATGTTTTACTTTTTAGCAATCTTAAAAATATATTAGATTGATAGATTGATAAATCTGCATAAGCTTTTATAATCTAGACCCATCATAATATCCAAATATGCACATTTTTCTCCTTTTTAATGCAATAAATTTTAAACCTCTAGAGATAATACAACAACTGTTTTTCATCTACTCTTAATAATATAATCTATAATCCCCTCTTTCAATTGTAAGTCATTTTAGACGTGCACATAAGAATACTAAAAATAATCCAAATGACTTGGTTGCCTTTCATTTAAACTGAATTGGAAAAGAATTAATGAGGGATGTAATAAGGGCAAACATTTAATACTATTTAAAAAGTGGCTAAAAGATTTGAAAATTAAGGACCCCAAATCTTAATTAAGGACCTATAGATAAAAGTAAAAGGGCGCCACAGGCTTAATACCTAAAGTTAAATCGACTAATCTAGATGTAATCTTATTCCGCGAGTCATTGCGATTAGCCGTCTGTCCATCTTATATACCATTCTACCAGTCATGTTGTGTCGATCGTGATAATAAAACCATTGAGATTTGACTGTAAATTTTAAAGCCACATTATACATTATACATTTTAAAGCCACATTTTGCACCATTCTACGTCGACGTGAAAACGATGAGTAAAAAAAAAAGAACGATGTAGTGGTAGAATAATAAATAGATTTATATTGCGAAAACTGATGCAAGACAAGTAACAAATATACCACTCCCAAGTTGTAGCATATACTCATGGTATCAAGCTAATCGATCCTCCTTTTGAATTTTATCAACTGTTTAACAAATTCGAAAAGTAACTCTCCCCCAGCATAGGTGGCAGCCGGTGCAGTCCCAACGAAGAAACAAAATTTAATATATACTCCCTCCGTATGCAGGCATGATTTTCTGTGTAAAATTTTAATCGTCCATATTATCTATAAAAAATAAATAAAAAAATTAAAAACATGAGTGAAGTATTATTTATATTTATCATCACATAATAATAAAAATACTAATTATATAAAAAAATTTAAATAAGACGAATGATCAAACTTGGCCGAAAAACTTATGGTTGCACTTAAAATGGAACGAAGGTCGTATAATTTTTTTTAAAAAAATAAACTGGAAATGGCACTTTCTAGCTTTAAAGCTCAGGAGGATCCCGGCAATAGAAACTGGCAGCGAATGGCTCGCAGAATCCGAGACAAAGGCCCGGGCTCGTACGTGGTTTCGCGGGCGCCAGCCCCCGAAACTGTGGCCGGTGCCCACCGCTTCGCCGCCTCCGCCCTCACCTTCCCCCATAAATGCCGCCGGCGACCCGCACCGCACCCCACTCCTCCCCCCACATGCTTCGCTCTCCCCTCCAACCTTGCAAACGCTCAACACGCGTCACCGGGCCGTACAAGTGTACAACCTTTGCCTGCTCTCTTGGAGGGAGCACACGGCTTCACAGCTTGCTTGCTTAGCCTGGCATTTTGCTTTGTCGATGGACGTGTACATCTCGGAGGAGTACGTGGCGAAGCGGCGGGCAGAGAAGCGGGCGGCGGCTGCGGCGGCGGCGGCGCGGATGGCCGGCGGCGACGGGGAGGACGGCAAGGCGCGTGGGGGAGGTGGTGGTGGGGATAGCCGGCGGACGCGGTGGACGGCGGCGTGGGCGGACGGGTCGGAGAAGGGGAAGGGGAGCCCCGGCCATGTCGTCGGCGCCGTGGCGTCGGGGAGGGAGGATGACGTCATCCTCAGCTACTTCTCCGCGTAGAGATTTTTCTTCTCCCTCCCTCCCTCGCAGTAAAATGCGTCTAGATTAAAAGAATTAACATTGGCAATGGTCCGTGCATACTGCATTGGATTTTATTGGCAGCAGATTTTTGCTTGTAATTAGGTAGTAGTAAGCCATTATTAGGGTGCCTTGGCTGGGGAAAAGATTACAGCTTCAGGTTTTAGTTTTTGTTTCTTGTGCTTCCCCAGTACCAACTCGACACACAAAAGAAAATGACAGAACTGTTTGCTTCATCTCTTTGTCTCAATCTCATCTTTATTATCATCCTCTCCTATATCATCAGTAAACAAACAGTTCAAAATTTTCGCATCTCGTAATTAATATCGTCAGTTACTTACAAAGTTACATCACATGCCCATAGATCTGAACCACATTTGCAGCAGGCAGCAGCTATGGGAATAATTCAGCAAAACAATTATACAACAGACACAGCCGATGAAGAAGCTGGATCGATCAATGGCTCATCTGGCTCATGGCTTGCGCACTGCTGAATACCCATGAGAATGTTCATTGTGCATCGGAGCAGTAACATACATCACGACGGCTGAGCCCAGCAGTATGACGAGCACGGCGGTGAAGTTCACAAGCAGGGCCTCCGAGCTGTACCTGCCGAGCCCTCCGGCCTCAAGGAAGGTGAGCTTCTCCAGGAACCCCAGCTCCGCCGCGAGCAACGCTAATATGTAGACGAGAAGGCCCGAGCGGACGTGCCATGGGAGCGCGGCGCGTCGGAGCGACGGCGAAGCGCCGGGGAAGAAGAAGGTGACGAAGCCAAATATCCACTGCAATATCAACATGGGGTTAGGACAATCAGGTTTCAGGTAATTCTGAATATAGGGAAAGGGTCACACAAAAGAGTAATAGCAAACGGACTATGAGCAAGTTTCAGAACAATGAATTCAAAGAAAATATTATTGACATATGTTTCATTAGTTGATATCATCTTGTAAAGTTCTCAACAATCAGGAGACCTAACACAATATTTAATAACAAGGAGCTGATACCTTGATGTCACTCGGTAATGCCAAGGGAGGGAAAAGATTAATTCAGGAATATCGGCATCTATTTTCTTGAGTTATCATAGTAGGTTTATGCTACATATTCTTAAATTCCTCTATTGGTTTGTGGCCTAAATCATGTCGAATGAAGCATGATTCTCTCTGCTTTGATGCTTCAACAATATCCTACAGACACTTTTCCTTTACAGACAGATGTAACATAGCAAATTACATGACTTTTCCTTTACACTTTTCTTCACAAAGGCAAAACCACTACTTAAAGTGGCATTTGGAATGTTGCAAATAGCTAATCTGGGTTCAGATAGTTAACTTGTCCAAGCTATTATAATCTAGTGGAAGCTCTTTTGAGGCATTCAGTAGTATAGCTATGGCAATCATGCTTGCATGGCTACCGATGCAATAAATAAATTTAAAAAGCTCTAACATAGTTCCAAACCTTAAATCTCAATTCAGACAACATTAGAATGATAAATGCTTTGCTCAAATTACCTGTACACCATATAAACAGATAGTTCCAAGTCCAACCCAGGAGTGCAGGCTGTAGAGGTTAGCAATTCCACTTTCATTGTGAAACTTGAAGGCAGCATATATTCCAACTGAACCCAGCAAAAGTGCAATAGCATGAAGAAGCAAATGGACCATCTTATTTGTGTCATGGCCCCATGGCCATATTTTGTAGCCCATTATGGCTGCAAACAAATCGCAATAGATCGGTGAGAACTTTGCAAAAATAATAGCATAGTGAGTATTGTTTTAATACTCATCATGGCAAAACCATCAAAGGAGAAAAAAGAATGAGTTTTTTTTTGTCCTGACCTTCACTTCCTAGAATGATGAACCCGATCAGCATAAGCACAGGATGAACCTGCATAACAGGGATCAGAAAACCAATTTTTTTAGCAAATGGGCCATATGTAATACTCTGAGAGCGCAATTAAAAAAGTAAACCAGACCATTTTACAATCAATCTTCAAATATTATCCCCTCCGAAATATAAGCCTTGTCAGTCACTCAGTCATTATCCTAAAATTTCTAATAAGGATTTAACCTCCAAAAATGACCTTCAGCACAAATCCTTACACAAAACTAAACCTTCGGTAACCCAGCAATCCATCTTCAGAACAGGCCCAAGTGGTCAAATGGAGATTTACATTTCTTCATGGACTACACAATATACACAGCAAAGTAGAAATACCAGCGCAAACACCAAACAATACAGGTCTCTACTCTCTTGTACACATAGCATTATCAAGTTCATTCTTGGAGACAAATAACACAAGAACTAGCACAGTACAGTGCTATAGGCTTGCAACCAAATCAAATGACGCCGCCATTAACCAGAATGGTCAACTAGCCTGCAGTTTAGAGTAAAACAGTACTAACCACAATGTTGCAATCGTTCACGGCAGTTGAGTTAAAGATCCAGCACAGCTAAGGACAGGAGAATCTCCCCAACAACAATGGCAACATCCACGACCCATCAGCTGAAAAGGTGGGGGGCGAGCGATTCTTACGTTGAAGATGAGGCCCTTGTTGGTGGGGGAGCTGAGCGCGAGGCCGCCGCGAAAGTGCACGCACCACAGGAGCACCATCCCCGCCGCGGCGGCCGCCAGCGCGTGCGCCGCCTTCGCCGGCGCCGCCACGGCCATCGACCCTCCTCCTCCCCGGCGAGGCGGCGAGGTGGAAGCGAGATCGGAAGAAAATCCTTCTCCGGTTCGTCGCAGCGTCAAACTTTGACCGGCGTCGCGTGGAGAAGAAGACGAGGGATTGGTGGGCCAGCCGAATTGGGCCTCACCAACCCAATTCCTCAAGTTAGGCCGAACGGGCCCATCCTAAAAAAAAGGAATAAGTTCACCAGAGGTCCCTCAACTTAACAGCGAGATTTTTGGAGGTCCCTTAACCACAAAACCAGAAATGTGTACCCCTAAACTCACTCAAACCGTTCACCAGAGGTCCCTCGGCAGTATTTTTTGTCCGGTTTTACTGACGTGGCATCCTAATCAGTAAAAAAAAATTAAAAAAACACATGGGGAACACATGTCAGCTTCACATCTTTTTTCTCCTCTTTTCTTTTCTCTCTCTTCTCTTCTCCTTCAGGCTGATGGCGAAGCAGCCGCGCGCCGTGGCCGCCGCCGTCGTCATCGCCGTGGGCGAGGCTACGCGGCGCGGCCGTCCGGCGGCGGAGCGAAGGCAGCGAGCGGAGCGGCGAGCACGGATGCGGGCGGCGCAGCGGAGGGCGAGCGCGGCAACGGAGCAGCGGAAGGCGCGAGCGCGGCGGCGGGCCGAGCAGTGGAGCGCGAGCAAGCCGCGGACAGAGTAGAGGAGCGCGAGCGTGGCGACGGAGCAGCGGCAAGCGAGCGCGGCGACGGAGCAGCGGCAAGCGAGCGCGGCGGCCAACGAGTTTGGGAGGGAGGGGGAGGTGGCCGGCGACCAAGAAACAATCGCTTCCTCTGCCTCTTCCCCTTCTCCCGCCGGTGGTGCCTCTTCTAGCATCGCCGGCCACCCACGGGGGCACGACGGTGGTGGCGGCCGAGCACGGGGGAGCTCCTCGTCCCATCAACTGTCTTCCGCTTCGCCTAGCTCGCCCTCCGCTGCTTTGCCCACCGCTGCGCTCGCCCGCTGCCGCTTCTCCGCCGCGCTCGCCTTCCGCTGCACCCCCCGCATCCGCGCTCCTCCGCTGCACGTAATGGCATATATACATGTGAGTGTGCTCACCCATATACACATGCTTGGCTAATATATATGTCTACTCACCCATATACCACTGCCGCTGCCGCGGCACAGGAGGAGCGTGAGCGACTAGGGTGCATCGTCAGCCGGCACTTCGAGCCACCTATGCACGGCCACTGCGACGCCTGGCCGATGCCGCCGAACGGCCGCGCCGTGTAGCCTCGCCCACGGCGACGACGACGGTGGAGAGCCGACGACGACGTCGGCCACGGCGCGCGGCTGCTCCACCCGTAGCCTCCGCTCCGCCGCCGGGCTCGCCCATCGTCCGCTCCGCCCACAGCCCGCCACCGTTCTGCTGCCGCGCTCGGCCATCGCGGCTGCACCCGCCGCCAGCCTGAAGGAGAAGAGAGAGGAGAGAAGAGAAAAGAGAAGAGAAGGAGAAGAAAAGAGAAGAAAAAAAAAATATGTGTAGCTGGCATGTGGGCCCCACGTACCTTTTTATTTTTTTTGCTGACTAGGATGCCACGTCAGCAAAACCGGGCAAAAAATACCGCCGAGGGACCTCCGGTGAACGGTTTGATTAAGTTTAGGGGTAGACATTTCTGGCTTTATGGTTAAGGGAACTCAAAAAATCTCGCTGTTAAGTTGAGGGACCTCCGGTGAACTTATTCCAAAATAAAAAGGCTGAATAAGTTCACTTTAGGTCCCTCTATTTGATGGTGAATCCGAAATTCGTCCCCTTACCGAAACACCAGAAATATCCCATCCCTCAACTCACAATACCATGTCAACTTTAGTCTCTCAGCATTATAGTGGCTGGTTTTGGCTGACGTGATGAGTGTGCTGTTGGTATTTCTTAACGTCAATTCTCCTTCACATTAGTCTGTAATTCCTCCCAACTTCTGGACGCTCGTGGAATATGCTAGAAATGAATCATATCACTATGTTAGATGTTTCATTATTTGAGTTTTATGTAGATATTGGCGGTACAAATTTGGCTCTTAACAGCCGCCAACATGAGCCCCACGTGGGACCACCTGTCAGCGTCTCCCTCCTCCCCCTCTTCCCTCCCCCTCCCAAGATATATTTAACTATTTGCCACTTTTACAAAGTGACAATTAATGATTTGTTACTAGACCCATATGTTATAGACACACGAGGACCTACATATCATAGAGTGTGGGTGATAAATTCTTAATTGTCACATCTTAAAAGTGATAAAAAGTTAAATGCCCGTTCGGTGTCACTGACCAGCGGGCCGACATTACTATGGCAGTCTGGCCCATCCGATGTTACCGGGCCACTTGCGACGCTGTCCTTGGCCGTGGTGATCTTATATGGGCTAAAAAAATTCTACACGCCACTGGGCCGAAATGGTATTCCGGTAAACGAGACGTGCAAAAAAGGAAAAAAAAAAAGAAGGCTCCGGTAGTTCGGCGTCACTGACAGGTGGCCCCATCCTTACTGTCTCCTCCTCGATCCCTCCGGCGACAACGGCGGCGGTGACGACGGCGACCCGCCAGTTCGCCGGATGAAGAAGACCACCACCCCATCGGCGTCTCCGATCGAACCCTTCGAGTTCGAGGAAACCTTCGTTTCTTCGTCCTCCCCCGGATCTCTGATTTCCGCTGCACGCGCGCGCGCGCGCTTCCCTCCCGCTCGCGGCATCCGACGAAGCCTGACGGCCGGCAGACGCCAGCGACGGCGACGGGGCACCTAACCGGGGCAACCGGCCATGAATGCGGCAGCGGCAGGGTCGTTCTGTCCGATCCACCCGTCGTCGGATCCAGCCGCGTGCCATCTCTTGGATCAACGATAGCAACGAGCGTGCACAACTGTATGTATTGTCTTGTTCAGTCTTTGGTTCTATTTCGATTCAGAGACTCGTTTGCTTGTTATGTCAAAGATCAGAACAAGGCAAACCGGATGATGTGGATTGGATGAATCATGAATGGTAGTTCAGAGTTTCAGATATGTCTGTATACACATACAAAGAAAAAATGTTCAGGTATGTCATGTGAATTGTATGCTGTTTGTTCTGCTAGCTAGTCGGTTACCAGATTATTGCTGCGGATTATTTGCTACGTGTCTCTAAAATATGTTTTCTCAAAGAAACCTTCTACCACTGCACATTATCACTTGTTATTATAAGCTACTTCCTCCGTATTTTAATATATAACACTGTTGACTTTTTGACCAACGTTTGACCATTCGTATTATTAAAAAAAATTATGTAATTATTATTTATTGTATTGTGATTTGATTTATCATCAAATGTTCTTTAAGCATGACATAAATATTTTTATATTTACACAAAAAATTTAAATAAGATGAATGGTCAAATGTTGATCTAAAAGTCAACGGCGTCATACATTAAAATACGGAGGGATTATCTATTAAGTTTATTTCTCAAAATATTTAACCTATTCTTATCTGTAGCAATGATTCGATCAATAATCTATCTGAAACGGGGGTAGGTGATTCATCAGGTTGATATTGCGTTCAGTCCGAGGAGATCTCACATGCCATTTTAAGCCATGTCCTAATGGATCAAAATGCTTAACATGGGAGAAGAAAAATCTTGGCATTGTTGGAAGAACTGTACGTGCCAAGGCATCCAAGAAATCCTGCTCTTTTCTTTCTCTCTTGTCATGTCTTCTAAGCTCAGACTCATACACAACCTCACCTCTGCCTTTATTAACACCACAAACTACTACTGTACACTTTCAGAGGAAAACTGTACACTATACATTGTGAGTTTGTGACTTGGTTGTGACTTGTGAGTGGTTCTATCTATACTTCTATTCATACACAGTTTCACTTGCATTGAAAGCTATATCAATTTGAGCTTATGAAGCATTGCTTTATTCAGTACTTAGCTTCAGTCTGCAGATCTTCTTTTGGTTAACCTTCTTGGCCTTACATGCTAACCTATTGAGCCTGTGAAAAAAAAATCTGCTCATCAGACTTCTTCAGTAGTTCAACTACCTACGCACCTTTCCAACTGGAAGCATTGAAAATATAGTAGAACAGATGTTTTCACCAATGGCAAGTTATTACAGTTATTACTGGCCCATCTCATTCTGCATTGTTTCTCTGACAGGATGAGCTGAAAAGTGAAAACCATTGATAATAAACAAGTTCAGGTCACGCAAGTACATCTGCATATGAGCATATCAGCAAAGAAATCCCCAACCTCTCCTTTTCTTTCTGCTTGGAACCATGCAAGGCTCCAACAGCAAGCTTCTGATGCATGACAGCATGAGTGTTTTCCTACCTTGAAGGCAAGCTAGCTAACAGCCTAACAGTTCTGTGTAAAGTAGAATATATACATTTTTTAAAGAAAATGCTCTGCCAATTCATTTTATTCTTTCTGTTGCAATGCAGGCCAAGGCCGGTGGTTCATGCTTCACACTTGCTACCAGATTAGCTTTGGCTAACCTTGATTTTAACATCTTACTGGTAAGTTATAGGTGCCGCATCATATTATCACAAAGTACATCCATGGCACTTTCCAACAAGAGGGAAAATTCAGAAAAAAAAAGTGCATGTGAAGGAAAAGGGAGAGAAACCACCCTATCAAAGTATATATCAGACCAACCAACCAATGCTAGATCTCTATGTGAGATGATCAGCGATGAAAGCAACAATAACATGTCACCTTCTGAGGCATAAAAAAGAAAGGGGACCAATTAATGTGTTTCACTGTCAGCTTTTGTGAAAGAACTGTGTGGGGTAGTAAAAGTATCATGCACCTGCTTTACCTGAAAGAGATCATTATGCAGCGATAGGACAACTAATCTATGAATAATAGTCTTGACAGAGAAACAAAATGTACGCGTTAATCGCCTTAATTTTCACTGCCACTATTCATGAAATCAAAAAGATGCTTTCAGGATCACCATCTATCTGTTGTTCTAGTACTACAAAGTACAAACCCTCAGTAAGATTCAGGCATTCAGTAAGCCATTTTGATACTTATTTTTCTTAAGATAAAGCAAGCTTTTACATCAAGCTGATAGAACCACACTAATCCTGATATTTTTCTTCATGTAGAACAAATTCAGCC